AGTACTTATAGGTATCATGAATTTTTAGCAAAGTCATGGTTAGTTGTTGGCCTGTTTTAAAAATTACTAACCTCTCACTTTATTTGAAAAGTATTTTCTGAATTCTTTTTACAATATACGTATGTATTTGAGGAGATTTCTGTCATTTTGCGTAGAAATGAAAATACAGTGATAAATAATGTTTACGATTGTATTTCTTAGAATAATGCAGTATTTCGTAATTTATAGATTCATTTCACAATATTGTTCAACACTCATCAGTTTATAATCACATAACTAAGGACATTTTCACGCAAAAATTGAAGATTTTTAACGAAATCTATGAGCAGTGGGTAAATTTTCAACTCCAGATGATACATATCTTAGTATGGTACAAGTGAGGTCTTTAATGGCTGTCTCTTTTATTAAGATAAAGCCTTTAAAATTAACTAGAAAATAACTTGGTTTTCTTTAAATAGATAAGCTCCCAGAATCCTGTGTATACGAAACTTATTGGTCTTCATTTATATATAAAAACATCATCATTACCATTTCTTAAACGAATTATAAAACTAATTTAAGGACTAAAGTCAAAAGAAAGTCTTCCATGATCACTAAAATTATATTTGGTTTCAGCTCATAAGTATTAGAACATTTGACATACTTTTTAAATACCTATTTACTATTTAATCAGATATTTACATATTTCTTTCATGCATCAGAATTTATATTAGGTGTCATATATACTTACACATAACATTATCTTACAAGTTTACTCTGCTGAAAAATAAGAAAAAAACGACGAGACTATAATTTATGGATTAACCAATCAGATTTACGACAAGTCTTAGATTTTGGCGCGAAATTCATTCACCCATTTGGCTAAATAGAGTCTTGACATTATAGCTGATGTAAGTTCGTAATGAAAACTCTAAATCTTATTCCTAACCCTAATCATCAACTGTAAATCATAATCCTTATTCGTCAAACTGCTTTATAACCCCTTTCGAGGTCATTTTAGCGTCGCTCAAAAGTCGTCTATAACTTATAGTCACACCAAAAAACTTTCATGTTTTATGAGTTTAATTCTAGGTTATTTGGTTTTCAAATAATTTTTATCACACATACAAATCTTTGCTTATGGACTAATATTTGTTAGATTATTCAACCTAATCTTAATGCAAAAAGAAATTGTCCGGTGATAATATTGTTCATTTGATTCATTTCAGAATGTTTTCCCTTGTTTTTCAATTAATTGATTTTTCATAATATTTCTTAGGTGAGAATGAAACTAACTCGTATGAATGTAGTGTTCGTTGCTAATTAATATCTACTTATAAACGGAAAAGTACTGCGGCCTATTTGAAAGTAGATGCTTCCCTCTAAAGCAATTTAAGTTCTTCATTTATGACCATATAGTGAAATGTACGGGTGAAATAGATATCATGAACCTACCAAACTAGTGAGTTAAAATTTATCGGTAATAACTTCGCTAACTTAGCAACAAAACTTTACTAACAACCAATGCCGCATTTTCCGCTACATGGTTGGTGACTAAGACTTTTTCTTGAAGTCGCCGATGAACTTTAGTTTACTGTCATATGGGTTTCATTATGTCCTTAGCATTTAAAATCTAAAGTCTCCACTAAAGAAGAACACTACATTTTAAATTTATTTTCATTCTTCATTCATTTTTAAAATTATTCCTTAAATCACTAATTAATTTATCTTGTAATTCGGTCTTATTATGATATATTTAATAACAACATATATAAGAATGATTTCGACGAAGAAAGAGAATGTAGACCGCTATTTGTTTGCGTTTTATCCCAAAATATGAATAGCAATTTAATCTGTATTCTCAATCCCTTGATATCGTCCTGTTTTTGAATGTTTACTTGCATTATATATTTGCTTGTAATCTGACGGCTATATCCATCACTTTTTAGTAGGATGCTTGTTCGCTATCTAAATGATCTGAAGTTATCCAGATGAACTTAAAATTGGTTTGTGTACTTGCACTCACTCAGTTAGAAGTAGTCAAAGATAATTTGACATGCATGCCTGCCATCAACTATTATTGTATTTAGTTAACCAGACAATCATTTTTCTCTATTTATATACTTGGTTTTGATAAAAAACCTCTGGTTGCAGAATATCTGGTATGCTAACCAGTAATTTTGCACACTACTCATTCTTCAATAATATATTGTCTTAATTCATTTAATTATTCCTTTAGAGGTTCAAATATATGTCGCGGACAAACTTATAAAAAGATGATTACTACGTTTTAGGTTGTGCGCCTGTCTTTTGATAATTTTATATTATCTGGGCTGAACGGTTTATCTGCAAGTCTGTATCTGTCATTCTGAACATCAAAGTCAACACTGATGATTGATACTTACGGAACGTTTGGGTAAACGAATGTATTTCAGTATACGTACTATCTCGAGAGTTACATTTCTTTAAAATCACTTGACATTGTTGATGTCTCGTCTAAGAAGAGTAGTGAAACTTTCTCAGTAGTATGTAAACACAGACATGCAGAATCCAGAATCCTTTGTGTAATAGTGATTTATCAACAAAAAATAGATAAAGAGATGATGCAGTGAAGATTGAAAACGCAACTTAGATGTAATTCCATGACTGATTGATCTCTTACTACCTACTTTCAGCAAGAATATAACAATTTTATTCCAATAATTTCCAGATAGGTTGAATTTATTTTTATTCCGAAGTTTGTAAATAACCTAACTAGAAGCTTGGAAACCTTTCACGAGATCCTCATAACCACTGATTTGTGTAGGAAATCATTTAAGGCGCTAGGAGCAGTTCTTAAATTTATATATATATATATATATATATATATATATATATATATATATATATATATATATATATATATATATATATATATATTAAAATGAACTGACTATCACAATATATAGGATCGAGAATACTGCCATAGTGTTTAGACCGTGAAATTACGTTCTTGCAGAAAATACAAAACAGTTTCAAAGTCAGAGGTATGTGTTACGTTCACTTTGATAACTAGTTCAGGTCATGTATCGATCAACTTCCAGTGAAGCAGCGAAATGTTAATACAAATAAATATCGCTGTTAAGCTACATAAATTATTTACTAAGCTAAACAAGGGCTCAAATAAGACAAATCTAATCACGGTAGAATAACGATCAATTTCTATAGTATTTCTGGATTACTTAGTCATGGGATTATTGACTGGTCGTTATTTAGCATAAGGTCATGTTTAATAGTTAATCAGCCTACTATATGTGTATAATATAATGTAAAGTGTTTGAATAATTCATGTCAATTTCCTAGGTCTATACCTTTACGATAAAGTCGTATATGATAACAAAACTCAATTTGCCCTTAAGCTACTAGAAATAAAAGTTTGTGTGTAGTGGAAGCAAACATCTGGACAGACGCTTGACGAAAACTTGTTTCGTGACAGTTGTTCAAAATATTTTGTCAAATATTCGGCGATCTACATATAAAAACGTAGCAAATAATAGTCAAATTTTTTACAATAAACATTGAGCTAATCTACATGGTTGATGCCAATACACATAGTTATCGAAAATACCTCGCCAAGCATAATGATTCTGTCGTGGAATGCGGTCCTCTTGCAATAACAGCTTGAAAGACAGTTCATCCTTAATTTGTACCTTGTGCAGTTTATTTAGTGGTTTACTAGCTTATTGAATAAATTGATTAAGTTTCAGTTATTAACAGCTGTTCGTCTTTTGCATAAAAAAATGTGTCTCATTTGACAGCTAATGATGGTACCGAGTCATTTGATGATATATATAAAACTTTGACGTTATTAAATTACTTTACCAATTAATAGTCTACGCTAATTTTATTTGAAAACTTTACAATCAAGAAACATTCCTGAAAGTTAATAGTGCTTATGTGTGAAAAACATTTCACAGTTAAATTACAATGAAATAAAGATTGAGGAAAAATTTATGGTGGACACTGGAAAGAATCAGACACTGATTGTTCAAATCATGAAGTCACAACCTCTAAGTGTCTTATATGATGTGGATCATAATAAACTATACAAAAGTTTCTGTTAATATCTATATTTGCCTTAAATATTTTACAATAAGCAGAGGTCATCATCTCTAATGCTATTTTTCAAAAATGATTGCTAAGTGAAAACCATCAGCTCCTCCCTTAAAATGATCTTTGATTAAATGGATAAAAATTGCTTTTGTAAGCTTGATGAAGGTTGCACAAACTCTTTTGCAGTTCTGAAACAGGGATTGGTACTTGATCTCTAATATGATTCAACCGCATCATCAGTATTAATCTACCACCAGGTTTTATTTTCAGAGTTATTTGAACTTGTTTGGTAAATGAATGGGTATGCTTTGTATCAGTTGTGTAATCAAGTAAATTATGTATTTACATTGTTAAAGTTTTGGAGTAAATATCATAAACAAACCTTTGTAAATGTAAGATATGTTGGCAAAAATATTTCATATCTGAACAGAGTCAATTCTTTATGTATTCATGAATTCAGTCTTATACATAAAACATCTCTTGTATTAAATGGCCTAAAGCAAAACTTATATAAAAGAACCCTATAAAATCAAAATATATAATAATAGCGGCTTTTGAAAAATGCTATCTTCTCGAAATATAAATACAGTTAGTTTTACTGTTTACTCTGAATGATTTGACATGTGTCTGGTAATTGTGTAATATTCAGTTTTATCCGCATCATTTAATTTATTAATCTTGGTCTGAGTTTTCAATACATTATAACTCAGTTTGCATAAAATTTGATATCAAATAGAGTATAATTCATTCAGATATATGACTCTGTCAGTCATCATATTAAATTCAGTAGGTACGTTTACATGGTAGTTATTCTCAGAAAATCCTGGACGTTACTATTCATATTTAGTCACACAGACCAGTTTAACGTATATATTTTAATGTTGAATTTGTTTTTCATATTTTCAGTGAATATAAAATACTACAGAATATGAATTTATTAATTGACAATGATGTAACATGAAGTCTGATATATGTAGAAATGTTCAAAAATACCATTCAAAATAAGCACAGTGAACCTAACCTACCTTGGTTACCGGTACCGAATTTATTAACTGAAGGCGAGGAATTTTCTCTTTGTTTTCAGGTATGTTGAAAATCACTCAATATATTTTAATCAAAACAACTTATATTATTCTTTCTCTTTGAGTAGAACAATATTATGAGGTCCAAATTAGATAAGTCATTTACTGATCACGTATTTCTAGTAAACCTCATTATATTAAAAACAAAAACTAAGAGTTTATCCAAAGTATTTTGATGTTTACAATGATTATCAGTTCATTAAAGGACTTTAAAATAGTCGAAGATTTTCAAAAGTCATGGGCCATTCTATTAGGATCGCTAGTTGAAAAAGTAACTGACAGTTTATCTGCATCTATTCAACAATTAGATGAAATATTTCCTTTAAGGAAAATCCTGATAATGATAAAATGTTTAGTTATATTAATGGTCTGTGATAAGTACAAAACCATTCTAAGCTGGGTTTTTTTCACTATTTCCAAATTATAAAGTTCGACTAATTTATAGTTACTAGTGTATTATAAAATGCTTATTCAAACCCCATTTATGAAACTAGTGCGTTATACGAAATTTCAGTAGCAAAAGTAAAGAGTGCAAATCAGTTTAAGTAACTTAAATACTAAACCAAGAACGAATACTCCTATATTTCTATTTTTTGTTTCTAAAGTCTATACAGTAAAGTAATGTTTAAGTAATCACGTGTGTGCTTGCAATATAACGATAACTTGTACATTGACGTATACATTTCATTCATTCATTACATATCCAATACTATTATTCAATGGCATAAAGAATTGCTCATTATCAATGTTTAACTTTTTTCCCCTTAATGACATTTCCATAAATTAAGAAATGTACATACAATTCGAATTAAAATATTTGTTACACAGTGTTTTATTAAAAATGATGTTTATATTAACAACAAAGATGCAAAATAAGACAATTATTTATATACAACGCGAGAAATTTGTATTTGTCGGTTACGTAGGAAAAACATTTTCGACGGAACAATATTTATATATACTACAGTGGTGGTTCTACAGCAGGGGAACTTGAAAATATATGAATTACATGATTAATACTGACTAGAAGAAGGAGATGGATAAACAATCACCAAGTTTAATAAAAATATTAATTTCTCAATTATGCATCTAATAAATCAAAATAAAACTATATGTATAATCAAGGAAATCAATTTCCAAACATTTTAACGAAATTACTGTAAACAAGGAAGAATAAAACTAGAAGAAAAAAAAAGAAAGAAAAAACAAAACGAATGACGCATCAACAATAACAATTTGTTCCCTTTGTCTTCATCTTATTCTTACTCAAACACAATGAGAATAAAATCAAAATATCGCTGGTAACGTTTTATTTTTACATTGTAGAAACATCAATATTGACAACTATTTATTCAGTCTATTATTGATGAACAAGCTTATATTAGCATAGATATAAAAAATAGAATGCTGAATAACTATGATAGCAGTATGTTAGACAAAAATGAAAGAAATCATCTAAAAAATAATCCTTTAATGATGGGCTTATTAGAAACAAAAATGATTTCTCCATAGAACAGATGTTTCAATGACGATAACAGTTCATTATCAACTTATATAAAAGTCATTCTATTTATTAGATGTAACCATACTTTTGTTTTAAATAATAAAGTAATCTACAAACTCTAAAGTTTCGTCAATATCGTGCTCAATTTAATATTGTAAAATTTAGAAAAATGACAAAACCTAATTATTAACTGATTAAAATGGAAGTTTATTTAGCAGAATATTTAATTTATTAAATTATTACAATAAACGGTATATATATTAATAGTTTAATTCATGAGCCAATTGAAGCTAGACCATAATGGAAAACTCGGAAGCACTGTAAGCCGTTTCGTTCTAGTATGGGACTTCTCATTAGTGCGCGTCCACGACTTCACGAGATTCAAACCTAGGACCTGTCAGTATCGCGGGCGAGAACTTAACCATTAGGCCTTCCAGTGCTTCCAGGTATTCTATGGTTGTCTAGCTTAAATAAACTCATGAATAAAACTGCCAAATTACTTTAATATCCAAAAAAAAACCTTTTTTGAATATATATATGTAATGCTCAAATTCATTTTTGCTTCTAAACTTTTAAAGTCATTTTAGCTGAAAAAATCTGTGATTAGGTTGTTGGAGCATAGAAGGGTAATTTTCACCACATATAGATGTCACCTAATGAATCATTCATAACAAAACAGAAGTGATCAGCTTTTTAAGTTCAGTTATCAAATTCGGGGCATTTGACAAATCCAGACATATGGAACTTTGTAATGTGGTTTAAATTAGACATCATTTGGATTCGATTGTCAGGAGTGTTAATTCTTGTCTAATTAAAGTTGCATATTGACCAGTATGAGCAATGGCTACCTCTAGCCAACTCTCTTGTAATAGCACCACAAAAAATTAGTTTTTACACTATATTAGTCCACTGTGATAATAATTTTCATTGTCTGCTGTATTAACAAATTTAGATAAATTTGTAAACGTTAAAAGGAGCTCATAAATAGTGTATACACTTATGTCCAAACGCATAAAAAATAAATAAATTCCGATTGGCTTGCATTTTGAATAGAACCTGGCTCAGAAATAAAGGTTTGATATGGTTCTCATTCCACATAATGTAGTATATTATATGTTATATGGTTTTCCATTAAAATTCTTATGGGATTTATGTGTTATTCTACATAAGGCTTTATGAAGCAAATAATAGTTGCTAATACGTCTCATATGTTACACAAAAATAAACGTCACTAACTGAATATCGGTTAGTTTAACTGTATACTATGGTTTTACCAATTATATTAAGGTTACGTAATAGCAATTAATAATACGACTAGAGAACCATTTATGACACTGTTAAATTAGGCGGTTTGTGATCAAGTCATTATAAAATCAAATAAGACTTTCAACTGGATTTTTGTCCCGGGAAACCTTGAGTTGTAACCCAGTTTAAAAGTTCAATGTTTATTCTCTCTCAATTATTTCTGTATTGTTGTGTTGCTAAATGAACAAGTTGTTTAGCAAACCTATGAAACACTTGACAATCAATATTCTGTTATTCGGAATAAACCACTGAGTTGTATTTATTTGTCTATCATAAGTAGAAATCGGTTATACCATGCACTATTTTATATTTATTTATTAGACATGTAGATATATGTTGAAAATAAGGAAAAACCAATGATTATCGTTTACTTCACTGTGCAATGCGCTAAAACAATGATAATTTGAAAGACATCATATAAATGAGATCGCTTGGACTCTTTCAATAATCAGAACGTTCTGTACATTATTCAGAACCTTAAAAAATTAATATAGTAGAATAAAGACAACACCTGCTGAACTGGATGAATTATAACCTGACTGGAGTTTTGAAATAATGAATGGAATTTATCTTTGTTGATTTTCTCCACTGTACATTATTTATAAATTCTTGTGAAAAAATTAAAGTCACGCCTATTATAGCGTTGATTTCAGGTACTCTAAAAAATATAAACTTATTGCAAATTAAAAACATATCTTTGTTTACGTGAGTGTAAGAGACTTTTGTAACAATCTACACGACTGATTTACGATTACAATAACACTTAATCTCTATCATAACAACTGAATCTTTGTAATATCGCTGATTTTTGCTGGTATTTTCCACTGATCTTTACTTGTAAGGAGGACCTATTTGATTTGTACTGTAAATTAATTGGTGAGTCTCTCACGAGATGTCAGATTTGGTCGATGTGCTGAACTTATCACCAAAACGTCAAAGCTTTAAAAGAGAAGTAGAGACCAATAAGGATAGTTCAAATGCATAACAGTCAAAGGATAACCTAAATGTTTGCAAATAAGCTTAGAGCCTTCTTAAGAATGGAACCGACCTAGTGGCATTTTTTAAATATCTAGCTATTTTGATACCTCGAAATAAATGAGGATGAAACTGAACAGTTTTTCAATTGTTTGTTAAAGTTTCACATATACAATAAGTAGAATTTACAAAGACACTCGAACTCATTACATTTTCAGGTTTTTTATATAGTGCTTTATTAATTATAATCCATTGATTATATGATCAACATAGGAAACAGAAAATCCCTCCAAACAAATGACATGGCATAAAGTTTTCGTACAAATTGATTTGTGGGGATTTTTCATCTATTGGAATTCAATAGAACAAAAAGTAGGTGGTCGTTTACTTATTTTTTGTTTTTGTCAAATTCATCAGAAATTGTTATCTATAATCAAACCTAATTAGATTGGGATTCAAGTATTTTGTTATGATTATATATATATATATATATATATATATATATATATATATATATATATATATATATATATATATATATATATGTAATACTAGTTTCACACTTGAGCGACTCCTGAAATGGCCTTGTGAATGTTATGTTCTCTATTAACCAATGATAAAGTAGATGAAGTAAAGGAAAAATTAAGTCGAAAAATAACTGAATTAATAACTTTAATGGATTTTTTGAATAATTCTTCAATTTTATACAATCGGTTAACAAGTTAGAAATAGTTGACTTGAAATATTTGCATTACAGTCATTTTTTACAATCATCCGTGAATCACTAGTTAAAAATTCAAATCACAATGATTTTCAGATAAATACGTACACAGTATTGATGTTTATGACGTTTATTAGGGCAACTTTCTTGATCATATGTGCTTATCCTTCAGTGTTATCACCGTGGATGTGAAATGGTATCAAAAGTGAAGATATCTTTCCTGATATTCTATTATTTATCAAGCTGAAACTTAGTTTGTGAGGACTGTGTGATTTTACGACGGTGACTGACATCGCTTTGAGAACCGTTGATTTTGTTTGGATTATTTATCAAAGTATTCAAACAGATGCATTTGATAAGTATGTTGAGTTTATCCTGAAAGTAAGTTCTCCAAATTTCATTTCTCCTAAGGCTTCATCAAAGACATTTTACGTTTAACGTAATGTAAATTAAAATAATTTACTGTAAAATGCACGTACTGAATATACCGAGCACATGAAATAAAACAAAGCTGCTTCAGATAAATCAGCTTTCAAATTAAATCCTGAAATCTGTTGCTACTTCTGACTGTCAATTTATTTCGTTCTTTCATTTAGGTTGTTACCACAGTGGATCTCATGTATATTGAAGATATTGAAATGTGTACAGATAGTTATGATGTAAGCAATACTATGACATTTTACTTTTCATTTGTTGTAAGGCATTTGCTTAACACTAGATGAGCTAAATTAAGTTAATACAGAACCTATAGAAAATTCCTTCAAGAAAATATAATGAAGCAGTACAATGGACGATGGACGTCGTCATTTGTTATTTATCTGATGAAAATAGGAGTATGGCAGCGAAGTGAATTTACTTGGTTTTCTAATCATATGTAAACTTACGTGGTGCTAGAGTCTAATGAGGTTAAAAAAACATCTGTATATTTGAAACCACTGAGTTTAATTATTTGTACAAGAGGTTTATGTTCATCTTCAACCAGACCTATGAGTTCAAAGTTTTATAGATCAAAAATTAGGCACTAAAACATTAGATCAAAACGTAATCTCACAGGTGATATACTAATTGAACTAGTGATAACATGAAATTGTTTCTTAAAGTAGTAATTATGAAAAAATATATTCTGACCAAATTTTTACACGATAATATAAACTCTATTAGTTCTTAAAGATGGATGGTGGCTAACAGCGGAATCCATGACGCGGGTTTTGTTCTGTTTGGGACTCGTCAGCTGGATGTATCTGCATCTCAGAGTTGGTGTTCACTTTTAGAATCTGAAATGCAGGTACATCCAGTTGAAGCGTTCCCCATAGGGTGAAACGCGCATCCTGGATTTCACTGCTAGACACCATTCATCTTTGCTTGTAGTGCTTGTGACTTAAAACAATGCCAACGTAATCTGCTTAGGATGTACATATGCCAATACGAGACTGATCAATTTCAGTCCTAAATATCAATGTTAAGATTCAAACGAACAAAACCAAGCGACTTCATTAGTTATTATTTGAAAACAGCAGTCAGTTGTATTATAAGCTTCAGGGAAAATTCTTACTTGATTTTTTTAAAAATAAACTGATAAATTTAGCAATATATAGTTAGTAGTACCTTATTTATATTAAGATAACAAAGCTGTTGATGAGTACATATGAGTGAAAATTACACATGTAACTGATTTCTCATTTGCATACATATCAACTTTATGCAAGCCTAATAACTTTGGAACACCGTTTGAGTCAGGATTTTGATGGAATGCATAAGTACTGATTAAAGCGTAATAAATATCACTATAATACGATGTTTAATGCAATTTTAAAACGTTTCCTGAGGACCAGTTCAGATTACAAAGTGCTTTGAAGTCCTTATTTTATTTTCCATATCAGAAGCTTCTATCTTAAGTAATACCTAGTTATTATGGCTTCGGTAGTATTTTAAAAGTATGCACGTAAAATTGTGAATTATCGTATATCTTGTGGATATTATATAAATTAGTTTTAATGTAATTCAATATATGTACATACTGTACTACTTAAAATGATATTTAGTTAAAATTTTCAATAACACATCCTACTGAGTCAAATGTTTATATATCGTTGCCTTCAAAAACCCATCTCCCCAAAGTGTAACCTCCATTACATTTAATCGTCACTGTGATTTGATTCACTACCATAATCTGCAACATCACATCAGGAATAACATACATCTCACCTCAGTGAGAAACTGTATTGCCCTAAATTGTTAATTGTGTTGTTAATCGCTTTGATCGACTTATTCATGGAATAAAATATGCTTAGTAGACCGACACTTTCGAAATGAATATAAAGTGAAATGTATTTGTTTATTGTCAATAATATCTATTTCATCAGAGCCCATTATTTAAAACAGACTTTTTGATTTTTAAATATCTTGACAGTTATTTGAATCAATGGAAACTAGTTTCATACGTCTTCAGGTTTCTTCAGAAGGGCTTTTCGAATCTAGAACAAATACAGCCTATGGAAAATTGCATAAAGGAATATATGACCACTCCAGTATTGTATTTTTATTAGTCAAAGATAATCCTGAAACTTTAAAAGTAAGTGAATATTATTTCTTTGACAAACAAAAAGTTGAACAAATATTATTAAAGACTGGTTGTCAAAGAAGCTTAATAAAAGCTATCTGTATGTTAATATGTTGTGGTAAATTAGACGAATCTACGTATATCCTAGGTCCTACATTGTTTATAATTGACAAAATATCAAGTATTCAAAGCCAAATAGCAGAAATATAAAAAAGTGAATCAAATATTCCTTTATTCGTATCTGCTTAATATCTATGGTTATGAATAAAGGATGCAGAATCGAGTGTTAAACTGAAGTCGTAAACTTCATTCTCGAAACAAACACCCAGCTTTTATGATAATATGACAGTTTTTGTACTAAAATTTATTTCTACCAGTAAATTCAAACAATTTACTCACTTACTGTCAAATGACCTATTTAGATTTTATTGATCACCTAAACAGTTAATAGTCAATAGTTGAATACATTTTAACAAGCATGTCTACGTGTAAATGTCTCCATGAAAACGTACATATTCAGGTATCATGTCTAGATTCACCAGTAGTTAACTGAATGAAATTATTCATTTGTCATAGTAATAATAGCCTGGTTGATTTAGTTGAGTAGGGTAGAATTTTCTGTCACTGTGATCCATAAAAATGTATAAACGATTCAATTTTTTTTAAAAAGGGAGAAGTTCGATCAGTGATTTAAAACAAATAAGTTTAGCTTAAGTGCTTAACAATAATGTAATGATGAGCAACTTTGATTTCCCATAAGCTGAGTCAACGTGGACTTGGTTATGTATGTACCATGTTTGCGAAGTAGTAACGAAAATATTCAAATAAAATTAAGCCAAATGGTTCCATAATAATTTAGTATGTAAGCAATAAATTATTATATAGTTTTGAAACTTGCTCAATTAAACGACAGACATTAATTTAAGTTTATATTAAGATTGGAGCTTTCACAATATTATTGATGGTTAAACGTCACTTCCGAAATCCTTTAAACTACAGTGGCAAATAGTAATTTATGCTTATCTAAAACCTCAGAAAATATCATCAATTGTTTGTTAAAGACTTTTTATACTAATGAAAAGTAATGTTAAATTCAATATGGCAATAATTATGTATGCGGAAAGGAAAATTCATTGAATTCATCATAACATATTTTATGGTATTTCGAGATGTTTACTATATTATATATATCCTTTATTCGTAAGAACGCACTTAACACAATACGCAAATGTTATTTCCACAATAAGAACTAATAGACATATTTTGATATATTTCGGAGTATCAATATAAGTTAATAATTTCACATTTTTATGAACAGTATTGTTAAAAAATCGTTTATTTCACGAACAGTCATCAACACCGAAAGCTAGTAATTTAAGGATCACTGTTTTGGTTGATTTTGCGAATCTGTACCAGTAATCTATAACCTCTCTGAAGATTAAAACCACGATAACCTATTACATAATAACAAATAAACTGGGGAATGTATATGGATGTTTGCCAAAGCTATACTGATAAAGTAACATTGAAGCGAATTATAGGTAGAAACAACTGTAAACACGTTGGTAAAAGTGATTCATTCATTAATCTAGTTTTAAAGTGCTTAATAGGGTAATTTGATTCTTTTTTCCACCAATGCATGATTCAAAAATATTGGTGAAGCTCAAATAAATTGAACGAAAGGTTCATGTTAGTAATATTTATGTTTTTGTAATCACGTCAAATTGAATGTCATTTAAGGATAGATGGCATTATCAGGATCTATTGCCTTTTAGATGTTTAAAATCAATTGATGTTGATTTGGCGTGTTCAAAGTGAAATTAAAGTATTAATAGAACTACACAATATCCTGTTCAAGTCATTGTTTAGCTAATGTTTTGTTTAGAAAGAATTTATACAATGATGAACTTTCATCTTTATTACTGATAAAAAAAGGCTTGTTTTCTTATTTCAGTTGATCAGTTAGGGAAAATAATGAATACTCACAAAGAATATTATTAACTCGTGTATTCATCAATTCAAAATACATTTAATATGAGTCAATAAACTTTTGAAGTTTCCATAAGATGGATACGTATTACAAAATAGATCACTCTACTTTATATAATACAAATTTAACCTCTTAAAATAACCCCTTTTCTGCTTTTATTAATCAATCAATATAATTGAAGTTAGGACAATTCACTTTCATTGTTTCCTAATAAAAAAAAGTTAATAACAACAATAATGAATTAATGAAGCAGCTGACTTTAAAAAAAAAGTTGATAGGTCGATCACGGGATAAAGTAGAATGAAAAGATTAAACTGTTTACAATTCTTCTTTGTGTTGTATGTATTTTAACTATTTCTTACATTTTCATTTAAGTGTAATTTAATTTAATTTTTAATTTTAATTTCATCAGATTTAAATTAAAATTAAGTTTAGATTAATTAAAATAAAAATGAATCAAATTGCAAGCTGAAATTGATTATTTTCATTTTATTTATAAAGAAAAGATTAATTCAGTTAAAAGTTATTGGTTAATTAATTATGATAGAAATTGTTTTCTGATTGGTTATTCTACCATCTTTTGAAATTGATAGAGCACAGGAAGAATAGATCACACTGTTTCTTCAATTGTATATATATATATATATATATATATATATATATATATATATATATATATATATATATATATATATATAGTTTAATGAGCTTGAGTTTCTGTTTAATTAAATATATCCTAGTTTATCTCAACAACAACAACAAAAAGAATTAAAAAATAACGAGCTATTACATTATATTTAGTTATTGTTTCTCATTGTATGAATAAGTTGTTAAATGAAAATCCTTCAAAACAATGCACCAGTTTATTTGAACCACATCTATACAGTTGCTATCCATTTTGACAATATTCCTGAATGTAATCAATTATATGTGACTTTCTCGGGGGAAAATACAGTTATCCATATTTTCATCTGTCTAAAATATGTATGTCAGTTGACGTTTAACTTAGTCTTATGGTCAGGTGATGTAGAGAACAATTAAGAGTGAAAAAAGGAACAACTTTCTTAATTTTTAATTGTTAACAGCAACACTATGTAGCTATCTGATAAATGGCCACTGACCCAGATCATCTACTAATGTTTCCTAAATTGCATACATCTAGTTGAAGTTTAAATTTCTGTTACTTGGAATACTGTTTATACATCGTTACTAAGGCATTTTCTGTAAATTTTTAAAACATATGTGTTGATTAGTTCATTGCGATTTTCAATATGATACATAAGAACTGATTGTCATGAACTAGAATTTCCACTAATTCATTTTTATCGAAGCAAAACTACTTGAGAAATGCTTTTTTGGCGTCAGCAAATTAACAACCTACTGAGTGAAAATAAGACTATATTTATGAATCTTTCAGTAGTTTAAATCGAATAGTTCTCTCGTTTTGTCTTCCAGTTTAGGCCGTGACTGATTACAACCGGTAGGATATTCACTAAGTGCAAAGGTTTTTAGAAACTGTTTCTTTCAAGTATCTTTGTCATTTTCAAGTTCCAATTAGTTAAGAAAACAATGAATCGTTTCTATTGTAGGAAGTTCATATTTTTCACATTCCTCAATTGCTCTCTGATGTAATAATAAATACTTAACATAACAGTATGATAAAAACACCAAATAGTATACATGGGTGTCTGTTGATTCATCAATTTAATATGTTATCAGTAATGCCAGTATAACCTACTACTTTTTACTGGACAATGATCAGTGTTATCATTGAATTTTGTTTCAGTTATAGTGATTTATTTATTTTTCAAATATCCATTTTGTCCCTCTTTAATTTTAAATCATTGCTTCATTTAAATAACAGATCAAACAAAATGTTCAAATTGTAGTTAACAAAAAGACTATTGTATTCAGATCACTTGTTAATAACAATTGGAATAATGAAAACATTGTAACCATGTCATCAAGTATTAGTAACAATCCTTGGTCCATAAAACATACTCATGCCCAGAAGGTGTGTTATGTCATCAGATATAATATCAGCCTAGTTTCCTTCTTTATAATTGAACTGAGTCGTTTGTTAACAGGATAAATTGGTGGTTTTGTATGTTTTAATGTCTAATAAAGAATCTTTGTATTATTTCTAGTTATGGAAAGATAATCTACTTAGACTAGTATTTACTCATTATCCAACACGTATTGATTTGGCACCACTGGAATTGTTATGGAAACAGTAAGTTATCTAATTTATTTCAGAGTAAACATTTCAGTCATGAAAGATTTTGAATTTATGCAGACCACAGTACCTTTTACTTTAATCTGCGAAAAGGTGTTTGTAATAATTATGAAATCTCTTCAAAGTAATTTATTAAAACTAAAGTTAAGTCATATTCGAAGATTTAAATTTTCCCGTTACTAAAATTAGAAATTCCAAGTGTAACTCAGGGAAATATGGAAGCAATCAAGTCAAAATGTAAATATGCCACTAAATACTGATCATTTTGAGTCTTCGCTATGAACATCAGTAAATTTCCAACAATTGAAAAGAACATTCATTTTGAACGAATTAGTGAATATCTGAAATCAACAGCTTAGTGGATAATTAGTTAACATTTGAAGTAGTAAATACTAAGTTTGAACCTCAATTTGAATATTAACGCTGGTATTTAGTTCATGCACCTGATGCTGACGAACTGTAATAAAACTCGTAGATTTTGTGCTTGGAAAAATTAATTCTAGTTTTTAGTTACCAAGATCAAAAACAAAAATCTATTGTTTGATAATTAAAGCAATAAGAAGTACTTTAATTTTAACCGCTCCGGACTAAGTAGACCAATAACTATTTGAGTTGACTACATTTTTCATGAAATCAACTTAAATATTTCTTGTTTAGTTGAATGGTTTGTGTAGATTAGTTCCGCGTGAAGATAGTGAAATCAGTTGTAGAACTATCCAAAACCATGAGAACTGAACAGCTCCTTGTATGGCTACTTCTTGCCAGTGCGTCAGCTTGATCTTGTAACCTCGTTGTCTAACAGCTTCATTATTAAATGTATGATAACTCCAGAGCACTTGATTATAGTATAGATGGAGAAGTAACGGGCGTTCAGTCTTGACTAGTTTCAGTACTCCACCTAATATCAGCCTGTAATAAAGTTTACTTATAAAACATGTGAAATGATTTGACATACAACCAGCTTAGTTAATACATATGTAAAACGATTGACGATGGAAAAGGTAGTACCAAGGCTTTAAACAAATAATTATCGTCACTTTTTGATAATAAATGCATTTCACAACTATTTGTAAATTCTCTAGATAATAAACTTTTCCATATAAATAACATTCAATGATCTTGATTCCTCAGTATGTTTTAATTAACTCTCTTTTAAGCACTCCTTAGCAAATTAACAGATTTTATAAAACATTGCGTTGTTTAATTCCAATTATTGCGCAGTAAATACTTCTTTTTCAGTGAATCGTTTTCATTGAAAAACCGTCATTCAATAACCCTCACTTCGCTAAATGATCGTTGAACAAATTATGACTCATTTTGATAAGAATCTCCAATTATTTGGTAGAATGCTGTGACTAATAAATTTTGACCAGGTCAAGAATATGATAGGTATGATTGGAATCAGTGAATAGTGATTATACAAATCAAAAATTGATTGAGGTTTCAAATGTGAATAACTGTATTCCAACTCATATGTCAAACGCATACAAGCTTCCTGTAGAGCTTCAAACTATTGGATTCGATCACAAAACTAGACAGGCATATCTATACATCGCTACTCGATCAGCAACGGTTGGTTAGCGTAAATCAGTCTGTGATGCCAAAGTATAAATTTAAAGAACTAAGTTGGCAGCTAACCAATCAATAAAATCAACTTATTCTTCAATGTTGTACAAGTTTACATTATCTAACAGTACGTTTTCGTTTCCAGCCTCTCTTCCCTTCAAACCATTATCGACTAAAATTTTGAGTTCAGCAGATAAGAAACTGTATCATATAATTTCCATCAAATATTAGTTATTCAATGTAAACTATGCATACTGTTTTCAACAATTATATATATTTATTTATATATGATAATACTTTTTCTTAGATGGACACATCTAATTATTGTTTATACGAATTTGTCAACATGGAGAAAAACAGAGCAGTTAATCCATGATAGAAAGTCTACCATACCAAATTGTTGTATTCTAGCAGCATTTGGATTAGAAGGAAATTTATTGCCAAGTCATAGAAGTTATCTGTCTGAATGTTCACCAATTATTACAGAGAATGCCAATATAGACTATAGTAGTAGCGATGCTAACGTAAGTCATCTATATCTAGTTTTCATTTACATTTTACCTGTGATTGATAGCATTTGGTTTCATGTAAACTAGCGTGAAGTAACTTTTGTTGCACTTCTAATCATGAACGTCTTCTATCGACCGTGTGAGAATAAACGATAAGATTTCCTAAAATACATTCAAAATTACTGACTCCCTGTATATTGTACAGGTTAGCTTTATCTATATTTTCAGTTATTGTTACGTTTTCAAAATATTCTCTTATTATATATTATCACTACAAGTCATATTATACTTCTTGTCATTGATGATATCAGTCTTAAATTGCAAGCATTAGGTTTGCACATGATCGCTTATGAAACTAGCTTAAAAGTAGTTCATATTGCAGAATTTCAATAAAAACAAAAAGGCACCTGTAGTGAAGGAATATGAGTTGATTCGCTTGTCGGATTCAATTCAGCTACGTCTAATCAGATACATTTCTACCACATCTTCAGAAATAGCCCATATATATCAATTCCACGTTCAACAGATCGGAAACTTGCATTCAGAGAAAAGTTACGAACGTAATTGATATTTAGGTACCTTTGATAGACAGATTTCAGCTAGTTCGTCAATTTTCGCTCTCCACTAAATCTACATACTTTTCTTATGATAATTAATGTATATGAGACAGGGTGTTAGAAACAAAATGAAATCTGTGAATTGAACAAACTTATGTAATTCTCCTAAATTAGAATTCTGAATTCATCCAAATTTGTACTGAAAAATAATTTCAAGTGGACGATCCTAAAACTTTAACAACCAGTTAAACAAGATTTAAAATACATTCTTGACATATTTCGTAATCGCCTGTGTTATGTTATTCAATTATAAAAATTATGGCCAACGTTCCATTGCTGGGTGTCTACAAACTATGTAAATAAATACGTTATACAAACTACCAGCTATATAAACGTATAACAGTTCACGACATGTATACCAGTATTGAGCACGTGTCTTTTTCAGAATTTTGATTGTGGAAAAAAGGGATATCTCTAAAGTTGAAGAGACTGTTAAAATGAAATCTTTTATATTCAGGGTTCAATAGATACTGATAATAAACCTCAGTTTATTGTACAACAACATTTTATATATAAGTAATCAATCGTGGATACAAAAAATACTAATTGTCTAAAATAATTAGAAAACGTATTCGAAATCAGAAGTAAAGGCGAAGTTGTCAAGTTTGTTGAATGCAGTACACGTACAAACAGAGTAAAGTACATGGCTTAGATGTTTAATTTATTGAAGCAAATAAAATTTGTCTTAAGTTTTGGATATTTATTGAAGTTTTTATTTCCAAGCATTATCTACCTTAACAAACTCCTGAATTTCTAATTCCATGTTTTTTGTTTATCAGATTGAAGAAACTTTGCTAGACAATTTCACATTTGATGTTTTCTTTAATTTATTCATCCATTCTTGGCCTCGAGAAGACATAGCAGACTTATTTTCTGCATAGTAAGTGACCAATTACAATGTGTTTCTTCTTTGCCAGTGTGACATTTTGCATCAAAAATATATTACATCACTACTATTACCTATTGGGAATGCCGTTCATTCTGTTTAAATCCAATAGATCATTCTTAAGAGCAGGACTTCAAAGTACATGTTTAAGTTACGGTTCTTCATCTAAAACGTTTTGTGCATCGCCCCAAATATTCTTGAAAAGTGGAACTCTGTTTTTAGATATTTAAATATATATTCTGAAAATAATTATTACAGCAATCATGCCAGTTCGTAGGCATGATCAGCTTGATGTAAATAGTAATAGTAAATGTACAGAACAAACGTATTATATAAGATTGTTTTAAGTTTGCTATTTCAAAAATTGTTTAGGTATTACATTTATGACATGTATAACAGCAATGCAATACATTGGCCGAGAACTTTTAGTTCTTCTTAAGTGGACATCAGGTTGATTAATGAACAGTGTATTTAAAGTCATTTCCTGAGCCATAATGAATAAATTATAGTCATCTACAATTAGAAAAAATAAAATGGGAACAGAGAGCAAGAAACAATGAAGCAATGATGACCAAAATATGTCAGTCATGTCTACCATAATGCATGTGTCATGCGATTTAATGATATTCTGTTCATGTTAGATAATATTCAAATTAGTTAAGGTTTCCAGGGTTGGTGTTAACATAAAGTAACAGCAGGTAGGTGGTTTTATTTAGTAAATTCTGTAATAAGAATGGCTAAAATTCTTATGATCTCACTTGTGGAATAAAATACACTCATAGATGCTAAAATATTTAATGGGTTTTCAAAGAAGCAGTAAGCATTAATTCAGAGAACAAAGGATGAGAGTGATTTTATCTTACGGGTCGATTGTTGCAAATTATTCCAGAGTCCGGAAAATTTACAGGTAGAGTAATTCATATAAAAAGATGACTTAGAATGAGTTTATTTCACCAATGACAAGAAGTTACGGATGTCGTAATTGGAAGTTTCTGCTTATTGATTATTTGACTGGATGTAAAGGATAGTTTATTAAGTATTTTGAAGAAAAATATTAGATTTAGTTTGAGTCTTCTCTCCCATAGAGGGTCTAGTTTATTACATCTGAAATTATAATTCAACTTACAATCAGCTCCAAGAATCCGAAGTGTAAATCGTCTTTGTACTGATTTCAACCTTAATTTTTCCTTTATGAGCACACTACTATGAATAAACTTGTAGTATTCTAGTAGTGGTCGAACACAAACCTTTTACGTGACTCATTGTTATAAAAGTTTTAAGTTATGCAACTTATAAGACGTTGAGACTTAGAGGTCTTTTTCAATACCTGTTCTGTAAACGACAAGTCGTAAAAGTATCTAAGTTCAAAGTCTACCACCGTATGTAACCTTAATATTTATGGTAAGATCTAAGTTGAGTGATGTATTACCGAAGCATATCCATACACATTTAGCCATGTTAAGCTCCAGATGCCATTTTGAACACTACTGCACTGCCATGTTAAGTTTCATACTGATGCAATTTCGCTTATTGCTCAGCTGGTGAGGAGAAAATCAATACACTACTTTAAAATCATCTACTTACAGAAAAAGCTTACTCACACAAAATCATTTTCAAATATCATTGGCAAAAACTAAAAAAGAGCAAAGGGCTTAAGACGTCACCTTATATTACACAACTTCTTACAGAGACGGCGTACGGAAAGAAAGAGTTAATTTTAATTATTTCGTGTCAGTGGCTGCGGAAGGAATCAAAACAAGCAAAGAGATGGTTTTGGACCCCGTGAGATGAGAGTTTATCTATGAGAAGTTGGTGGTTAGCCATATCAAAGGCTTTGAAAATGTTAAAGTATAACATTAAGACTAGATATCTTTGGTCACGTTGGGAAACGACAGAATTAAAGAAGTCAGAATGGCATGTCATGCAAGACCGATTTTTAAAAATCCATGTTAAGAATCACTAATAAATTTTTCAGAGGGTAAACAGTCGTAAAGTTCTTCACTAACAATTTTTTTCATAATCCTAGCGACAGCTGGAGTATTATTTATGGGCTGATAATTGTTCATGTTAGTCTTATCTCCATATTTGTAACGTGGTATAACATACGCGGTTTTCCAGTAGTAGGGGTAAGTACCTGATTCCATAGAGAAAGTAACCAGCTTTAGAAGAAGTGGAATATCTAGACCTCAATATTTGCAGAGAAAAAATGAAATTTCGTCTACTCCATGAGCATGCGAAACCTTAAATGTATTTACCGCCTTATTAATTTTCAAACATGTGAAGCAGATAGATTTTATTGAGTTACTAGTCACATACATGGCTCTTGAAACAGTTCCATTTAGAAATTCTCCACTATTCGCAAAAATACTACTGAAAAGGCCTGATATAGTTTGAGTCGTATATGAGAGTGCTATTATGCAGGATGCATGGTATATCAACATTTTGAGTTGCTTTAAAAATAAGTCAAAGGGTGCAGTTTCTGTAGCTAACGTCCGCTTTTCGATAGGATAAATCTTTACACTATATTTTAAGTCCTTAATATATTGTACTAATTCCTGAATACAAATATGTAATATCTTTAGGGTTGATAGTTTATATATTAATTATCCAATCGATAAACTAGTGATTTTAGTTATGACACATGTTTTAATAGTTCTTTGCTGCACACGAAATACAATGACATCACCATGTTGACCAGTACCAGATAAGAAGAGATTTATGAGGACTAAAACGCAAAAACCAATGAGGACTGTTACCTCCTGAACAAGTTGTTTGATAATGATTATATGTTTATTTCGAGAGATCAAGAAGTGAAGTTTGAGGACGAATGGAAAATATAATCACATATACCTACTGTAAATAGACTACTCAATGTTCTTTTTCGTTTTATGTGTTTTCAGCACTAAAACTAAAGGATTTATGGACTGTCAAGAGTTGAATTCATTTTTGAACACAGTAAGTTGACTAGTTCTGTATTATTTTGCTGATATGTATATATTGAATTAACCCTTCTTGAAAAACCTACACACATAAGTTCAGGGTTTCCCTTACCACTAGTTCTCTTTGATATTTAAAGGTGCTTACTTTGATATTTAGTGTACTCTAAAGCAGGCACCGATATGTGTTTCTACTTCACTAAGCGATAACTTAGTATAAATTCTAATCTTATATTCCTATTGCAATGATTCGTTTACGGACTTTAGTTATCGAAGTGGCTTTATGCAGTTTGGAAATTGAATACCTGTTTCGTTTTGTAATTCGTATTTTAAAGACTATGAACAACTAAAATTGATTAAATTATGCTATTTTTATTTGACCTAAAATTCTTATCACCCAAGTGGACAGAAACCTGATTAACAAAGAAATAATATTCTGATGAAATGAGATATGCGATTGAACTGACCACCTGGTTTGCTTTGCACTTCAATCCTCAAGTTTCCCACCTAATTCATTCGAACTAGGTGATCTTTTTGCATCGATTTGATTAAATAAAGTGCTGAGGCTATTTAAACATATTCTAGTAACTACGATTGAACCAGAGCTTGAAAACTAGATAATACTGAACATGTGTAAATGTATTGCACGAAATATGCACATGGAGCGCGCAATTAATTTCGAATCATTTATTATTTAGTACAAACATCGCGAATAAGATTGAGTTTGTAACAACTGGATGTAAACATCAATGTTATCAAGAATATGCCAAGATTTTCTCTGGACATTATTACTAATGAAAGAATTTGTATTCACTAAATGATAAAATATAACGGTCAATATTAACAGTCATCAGTCACCTGTGCGTTTACCCAAGGTGTTTTTCAAATGAAACACTGGCGGCATGCTTGAATATCTGGGCTACCTGTTTCTGCCATCTGACTATTTCAACAAGTTATCTGTTTTTTCATTTGTTTTAACTTATAATTATGTCCACTAATCGCATAACCTATTCAGACGCTTTTATGAAAAGCCTACGACCTTTCGCTGCACAAGTTACAAAAAAGTACTATAAAAGACATCGTGTTGGTTGGCAATATGCGTTAAAGAGAATAAACACTAATCGTATGTCGATTCACAAGCTGCTAAATTCTAACTGCCGATCACTAATAAACAAAGTGGACTATCTGCAATTCCTACTAAGTCAAAATATGTATCGTAATTGTGGTGTCATCACAATTCAAGAATGTTGGTGAGATGATTTACAGGATGACTGCCTAGTATCACTACGTGATTTCAAAATTCATCGTCAGGATCGATCAAACAATAAAAAGAGGTGTGGTAGCGGTGTAGCTACGTTTGCAAATATAAACTGGTGTCGATCTTTGTTTGTGTGTTTTAGGTTTTCAAATGACTAACTCTAAGATGTCGTCCAAAACATTTGAAAAAATACAAATATGTTTATGTTACCAATATCTACGTTACTCCATATTGCCCATCTTCTGCACTATCTGTTTTTGCTGATGAATTCACTGAGTTTGCTGTTACTGCCTTCAGTGATTCACTTTCAGTTGTATGTGGTGATTTCAATTCATGTGACTGTAGCTTCCTTACGTCACTAGGTCACCAAAATGTAGTAGATTTTCCTACCCGTTTGGATGCTCATTTAGACTTCGTTTTCATTAATGATGTGGGTATATATGCGACTTGTAAACATGCTCCATTGTGTAGCTCGGATCACTGTATAATTCGTGTTCTACCTAAAGTATATGGAAAGCATGAGAAGAGTACACTATTACACCCTTCCTCAAAACAATGGAAAACTTATTGATACTTCCACTTCAGCCTGCTACAAAAGAGCACATTGATCCATATAAGTTTGCTTACAGATGTAAAAGAAGCACCTTAGATGCTGTTGCTGTTCTGCATCATAACATAATGTTAAACTTAGAAAACGGTAAGATGTATGTTCGATGTGCTTTTCTGGACTATACCTCAGCTTTTGATTCTATACCAAGACAACGTATACTGAACAAGTTAATCAGTGTCAACACTGACAGCTGGATAACCAACTGGCTATGTTCCTACCTCTCTGGAAGGGAACAGTACATTGTGTTTGGAGGAAAGTGTTCAAAGTCTCTAGTGTCTCATGAAGGTGTACCACAAGGAGCCGTTCTTTCACCTCTTCTTTTCTCTTTTTTTCTGCATAATCTGCCATCTTCCACAAAAAACACTTTTGTGAAATATGTGAATGATCTCACTGTATGTATGCCTATCTCTTCCTCTTTACATCACATAGAAATGAATGAGTTCTTGTTTCGGATTGATTGTTGGTCTGTTGGTAATGGTTTCATACTTAATCCGACTAAATGTCAAGCTGTTAACTTTAGCATGAGACATGAACGGAATCTAAACACCATTCTGAGATCCCATAATGCTTGTACCATCGGAGACTCTTTGATAAACACAATGTCGAAGGTCGATTATCTTGGTGTCACCTTTTCCTCTGATCTGTCTTGGTCTTCCCACGTTTTATCGTTATCAAAGAAGGTTTTCCGTCTGACCTACTACATAAAGAGATTGCATGCTCTTGGGATTACTCGTTATTTACTCTTACAATTAGTCAATTCTTGCATATTATCTATTATTCTTTACTGTTCTCCATTATTCTTTCTCGGGTTTTTGAGAAAAGACTTTGTTGTATTGCGGAGAGTGCTGAAGGCAGTTAGCAAGATGTGTGGTGAATCTTTTGAGGTCATAAGTAATATGGTTGTGGATAGACATGCAAACTCCTGGTAGGTGTTATTTTATGAGATACTAACCATCCTCTTCACTCTTATCTTTCTCCTCGTATATCTTCTGGTAGAACGAGACGTAATTACATTAAAATCCATGCATGCAAGCAAAGGCACAAAAGTTCTATAATACCTTACCTAGCAAATATACCTGCATTCTTAACATGTCTCCAATTTGGAAAGTTGTAAATTTTTTCAGATATTCTTTTACCTTTGTTCTTCCTTTCTTTCTTGATTTTTTGTTAAATAAACTTGTCGAACTAAAATATAATATTGAATAAAGCCATTAATAATAATACTAATAATAATTATTATTATTTTTATCAAGCAAACAGCATTATGTTACAACAGTCAGATTCTTTTTCCAAGTAGTTTTTCAGGCAGGTTAACAGAGGAATTTTATGGAATTTTGGTGAATTCAGTCTAGTGTGTACAATCATGGTGGTGCAATCTGACAAAACATCTGTTCAATCAGCCTTATTTTTCAATTATTGTCCAGACTTTATCAGCTCGCGATCGAATGCCTTATAAATCATAATATTGAAATCTCAAAATACAGCATGAGGTTGAGATAAATTAGACGATACTAAATGAACTGTTTACAGACTACTTAGCACTATTTAATGATAATCATCAATAAAAAAGTTAGTTATAAAATATTTTTATTTTTATTTTACTTACAGAGTATTTCATATTTCACAAATCCAAATGTTTCTTTGGAAAATCCAAAGAATTTTAAGGCAGTTGATAAGCAAAAAACATTGAGACATATAAAATATCTACACATTGAACGAACACAAAATAACCAGACACCAGTAAAAATGAAATCATTTCAGAAATTTCAATCACAAAAATATCAAAATGATTCAAATTTAAAACGATCAAAAAGTTGTTATACAACTAATCAAACTAATTTAAATCAGAGTCAAATTGCGAATACTCTCAATTTAACTAGTGAATCATTATCTTCTACAACAAGTCCATTACATCACGACAGAAATAGATTAAACGATCACAAATCTGTCTCTTCTCTTGTCATTACTAATTATAAAGAATTTAGTGAAATTGTTAGACGATATGAAACTAATCAATATGCAGTTAGTAAATGTAAGTTTCTATTATTGGAATTGAATCATATATGGTGATATCGATTCAGTTAAAGTATATTATGCAATAAAATTTATCCAATTCTGATGCAATAAAAATTGCTTTAATTAGAGCTCACATCTAAGTCATTGATTAATATTAGTTGACACGTTCATGAAATACAAGATTTTGTATCTCTTCTCAATGCTGATATTTAAAACTGAACTAACTGTCCTCCATTCACATAAGGAGTTCTTGTACCACGTGGTCCCTATGTAATACTGATGACAGTTGAGTATCATAGATTATCGTATACATAAGTATTATTTTTTGCAAAGTACTCAACTGTTTCTATTTATAACTCTGAATGAGTATGAAAATTCCATGTAAAAGATTATGGAGTAAGCTTTATGATCTATAAGTTTCACCATAAAATAAAGCAGTGTTTTCTTCTGTCTATCAAAACATTTGTTGTTAATCCCCTAATGCCCCTGGCTGCACCTGGAAACAGAATTATCATTAGCAAATGTTGATAAATTCCCAAAAGGCAAATTCCAGCCGCCTAGTACAAAATCTTTAGTATAACAACATCAAAATCTAGATATACACCCAAGTTTTACAGTGTCACTAAGTAGGTCGATGCTTGTCATAACTTACGGATCTTGGTCGTTATAGTAATCAGGTGTGTTGTACATAGTGATTGTTCATTTTATAAAACAACATAAATCAAAATGTAAAACAAAAACATTTTTCCGTAGTCAATAAACCTGAAGTGAGATTTTTTATTTGATTACTGTCTGCAACGTGGGTAATAGATTTCTGGTTGCTGGCTAACTTACGCTGAAGTTATCGGACAATTTGTCTGATATAACAATGAAAGCGATAAAATTAGACCAACTATATAACCTTATATGAAGTCATATTTTATGTTCGCTTTCATCTACAATAATCAGTTATATGACACTGTTCTAACCCATTAACATTTTAAATCACGCTTTTTTCCCTAAATATATTTGCCATTATGAAGAGGTATCCATACTATATTTACCATCGTATGTAACGGCAAGCACAGCGACAAAAACTCTTAACATCTATGCGTCGTATGTTGATCCACTTTAATTTGTGTAAATTTGTTCATTTGATTCGTAAACATACAACTTCAGTACGCGTTGTTATACAAATCAAATTTTATTGAATTATACGTATCCACAGTTTTTGAAGCAAACGTCTTGGGACAAATAAAACTATGAGGATAAAATACAGGATCAACGTAACTTGATATCATCAAAGTGGACAGAAATGCTATCAAATTATTAATAGTTTACTGTAAATTAGTAGTTCTAATAACATTAGGTTTTGTAAAGAATATATGAACATCAATATTTCATTATGCTCCATCTTTTAGGTTTATTGACAAACGAAGGGTTTTACCGGTTACTCTTATCTTCCACATATCGTGAATTATGCATAAGCCGCAATCCAACTTTTGACACCTATGATCAACCAATAGAATCAATGTCCACAATTGCAGAACCAAGTAAATTTAGTTTAGATGCATCACAACATCCGCTCGCCCATTATTATATTAAAAGTGCTTATTTAACCCATAAAACCTGTAGAGAAGATGATATTAAACATACTGTTCAGTGTAACCAGGTGTCGCCCACAGATACTACAATACCCAAAGAACCATGTTCTCTGATAGGACATGGTATTAAATCAAATAAGATTCTTAGAACTATCCGTCAAGCGTTATTTTTTGGAATTAGGTAGGTTGTATTTTACAACAAAACTATTTTTACTCTAACAATAAAAACAATTCTAACTGGCTTTGATTTCTAAATAAATAATTGTTTTTTTTAATGATGAAAAGCCAATTTATGTTTAGTATTTTATATATACCTGAAATTCAAAATTCCCGCAACTGAATAAGTCCCATGCATTTTATGTAGCTAATTAATCTGTTTTCCTTTAGTTAAGATTTATTTATGGTGATTTTCTCTAGAAATAACTTTCCACGAGGGATTTTAAATCTTTTGTCATCGGTGAAAATAAGTAATCTTCTGATTCAACCCATAATTTTCCAATTCTAGAATTAAAAAAACTGATAATAACGAAAAGAATTTGTTCAAAACAACAAAAAGACAACAGACATTCTCTAGAATGTAAGTTAAGCTTCCTACTGTCAGTCGTAGTGTTACAAATGATTTAACTAGTCACTTCTCTAATATTTGAACATTTTGATAATCTTCAAATGAAGTATCTGGATGAATACCATTTTTGGGAAGCATATCAGTTACGCAGCAAAAACGTATCAGTAATGAGGTAATACATGTTTTTATCAATTTGAGGTAGGGTTGGCATTCACCTGCTAAAGAATCAATAGAAATTACGTTCTTTTCCTAAAGTACTTAAGATTCAAGTTATTTGTTCAGGATTTAAAACTTTTATCCCTCTCTTCTTTTTCCTCTACAGGACCCTAATTTTAGATTGTCATTATTTTTCCGGATTAGTTGGAGCCGAAACTATTATTTCTAATGAACTTATCATTGTCCCCACAAATCCAAATAAAATACCAACTTGTTTTACAGAACAAACCTCACATGACTCATTTGATTTAATGAGATCCATTTTGTACAAAAACTATCCATATGCCTTATTTAGGGTAAGTTATTGTCGGTAGTTATAATTGACGGAAAATACACATTTCATAATGGCTTGTTAATCCTATAGGACTTCACGAACCATCAATAATATATTTTACTGTAATAATGAACGAATGAAGTTCAAACTCCTAGAAAGTGCATATGCATTCAGTAAACTAAAATTGGATACAAACTCTCTGGTCAAAGGTCTGATGCTGATTCTTTTCGTAATCTGTTAAAAAATCAAGAAATATATCACTTACCTACAAGAGTTAACACTCAGTAATTTTCGTATGCAACAATGTAACTCAGGCTATTTTAATGTTCAACCAAGAAATTAAGTAATGTTATTTTTTATTTCCACTCAAGATTAATGTCAGAAATCCTCGTTAGTCGAAAATTGATTGCAAAAAGTTGCATAAAACGGATGAATACTGATGTAATAAACTGACGATTAACTGTTTTAACATTTTATGCAAGTTAATTCTATTCCATAATGTTAAGCTTCACATTTATTTAAAGGAACTGATATTGTCAGTGCAGGAGAATCGTAGAGTTAGTTTAATTTCGAAGTTGATATCCTGGACTAATTTCAGCTATACAGCCAGTTAAAAATATAAAGCATTGAACGCCTGCTTGACGCTAATATAAAAATTCTCATCAACGTTTATTTACGATTAGGTGATAAATCGAACCAAGATCCTTCAGACCTCACCCTAAACATTAGATGACTGAGTTGATTTATATTTCTAATTAAAGTCAGCGATATTGTACGGTGATTTACCAGACAAAGCCACCCCATGGTCCGAACTACAACTTTATATACTAGTAATAACCGTGTTCCTACAAGTGACTAACTTCTTATGTCCTAGAGAGAATCCATTATCAGTACAGTTTACCAATGTCAGGCGTGAATTAAACATCATCAATGGCGATTGATGATGATAGTTCAATATTTCGAGTTAGCTGAAGTTGGAATTGTGTGCTAGATACAGTGCTGTAGAGCTTTTGGATCAGAACATTATTTCTTATTGTAAAACGAAACACTGCAAATTAAATTAGAAGGAATAGTCACAAACAGATTGATATTCATAACTTTTATACTCTACTGTGAAGGAGTTTATACATCCCTAATTAGTGAAGATAAAATTAAACGTAAATGAAAATATCTTATCTAAATTGTTTTACTAAAGCGATTTATTAGAATTATTTTCCACTAAGACGAAATGAAGGTTTAATGTTTCTATACGAATTTACTCGGATTTCAGGAATCCAAATAAAGGCGATTTATTTTTTCCGATGTATGAGATCAGCATAATCAATAAGCAATTACCATTTTTTTTAAGGATTTAAGTTTCATGAACTTTGTAATTTGTAGGGTACTGGCTTTGTCAATATCAATACATTGATTTTGTAATCAATCCTTTTTCCCAACGTTAACGAAAGTAAAGTTTCGGTAACTGCTCAATGTCAAAATTGACAAGTGACTGGTCTGTTCATTAATTGCCATTTTATCAGACTTATGTCTGTATTAATTAAAATTTATATGGGAATGATTATTTAATGATATTATATACCATATTAGTTGAATTATATCTAAATGACACCTGTCATCATCATATCATGATCTAGTAATTTTTTTTAATTCAATCCATTTTTTAGTCCGTCCTACAAGTATTGAATGAAAATATATTCCTTATTTCTGATTATCCATTCATTCTGATCATAAACTTGTATGGGTTAGGGTGAGTCTACACAATGATGAGTTGTTCTTTATTTGTTGATTTGCTGACTAAAACTTCTATTTATCATTATGCATGAACCAAATATAGAATAAATGTATTTCAAAAATTAATCATCGATCAAAATAAAAACAAGTCATGAATGTTTGCTCTCACTGAAAAATATATATCCGAGGTCGAGTTGGAAAATCTCTGGTTATATTTCATAAATATTTCTCAATACACAAGATAATATAAGTACTCGACTTATAGAAGTTATTTATTAAAGTACTCGTTAATTGTTGAATAAATTATCCAAGATTTCGGAGTAAGGTTCAGATACCTAAGAAATAATAGTACTTTTGTTTTACTAGACAAATACATAAAGCGAATATTTTAACGGACCAAGAGTTTATCGATTATGTTAAAGCTTTCAGTTACTACTCTCAAACGACAGTGTGAGCAGTGATTTGATGAAACCTGGTTAAAATCAATAAGTTTTGTTTATATACCCGCTTGATTACCATGTTATACTACTGTTATTCATTAGTGAGCTCATTGTTTATTCACATAAGACAATTCAGTTATCAGCTTATTCAAATACAAATAGTACTATTGAACAAGTTTCAAGAAGCAAATTTTATATCTTTTAATTGATATTTAAACGAAGCAAAATGATATTCCATAAACATACTTAACTTGATTTGATAACATTGACGTTTTAGCATATTTTATAAAACAACTTAGGTTTATTTCTAATTAAACACATCAAGTTCACCTACTATTTCAGGATTCAGATTGGAAGAGAATAAAAATTATTTTCTCCAGATTTTATTTCGACTAAAATCTGACCTTCATGAATCTTTGTGATTGTACATGTGGATTCAAAAATTATCAAAACACAGTACACAAAATTAAATTAATGTCAAAAATGATTGTTACACAATTAAGAGCATTTGATTTTGAACATAACTGAATATTGAGTATTTGACTCTAATTTCTTTGTTCTATATTTTTATGTAAATCAAACTAAACTTTTGAACCTCAGTCAAGAGCAACAATGCAGACTGGCAAATTTGCTGCAAGAATATCTTGGACAGTGGATAATGGTATCACCTTTACCGAATTATACCAATAATTTGAACATTAATAATAAACTTGAAAAGGAAACTCATTCTACTTATTCAAAACCAAATTACTCAGTAAGTAATACTCAGTTTTTCTGTTAAGTTGATTGAAAATTAGTTTGATATTAAATATCAATCACCGATTAATTTCACAACTGTAATCTTTGATGGATTATTTTCATTTTCAAATAGCAATCTCATTCAGTGGGCTTAAACTAGCAATGATGTAAATCACTATGTACTGAGACCCTATACTCGAATAAATAATTATTTCTAACCTATAATTTAGTAACTTAGACCAACTATGAAATACCTCTGTTATTCTTTACCATAAACATTGTATTTGCAGCTAAAGTCATATGCAAAGAAAATAGTCTCAAAATACGCCACAAAAATGAACAGTTGGCTGGATAACATAAACGGTTGATAATAGTGCATGATTTTTACCAATATTAAAATTAGGATTGCAATAAGACTTACGGAAGCATATGCCTTAACTATGAAAGTTGTAAACTTAAGCTTTTTTTACAATAGTAGAAAGGAAACTAATAAATTAAATGTTTATTTTACGTCATGATAAGGAATAAATGATTAATTGCTCAGTCATTTAGCTTTGTTTCTTGAATCGTAGCCAGTTAAATTCTCAAACTTGGAGTATGTTAGCTAACTATTAGATAATTATACGGTAGTTCGGTAGATAAGTATCATATCACTTTCAGTGATTTTTAGTAAACTATTCTTTGAAATGTTGCTGTTAGCTAGTTTGTCTTTCTTCAGAATGGAAAAGTCAACAATGTTCAGCTGACTTAAGAACCTGTCTTATTTTAGATGAACCGTATAATTTGTCAACATGAATATTGACATGAAAATGAGACTATTTGAGAGAAGATAACAGACTGTTATTAAACTGAACATACGTAGATTTGTTCATTATATTTAGATAAGTTCTTATCACTAGTCTAAAATATTCCTATAACCAGATTTAAATGTTTTAAAGATCTAATAATTATTCAGATGTTTGCAACCAAAAAGAAACTTCCAAGCATCTAGAATATTGCTTCTTCATATTGTTGATTTTTAAATGATTTTATGTTATTTCGAATATCTTAGTTACTAAGGGGAATAAGTAAAATGATTTTAGTTGAAATCTGCATGAATAATCAGTCGTTATAGGTAACAAACAATTCGTATTTCTGACTCTAGCTATTTACAAACTCGTCAGGGTCTACTTCATAAATATTCAACTGGCTCATGGATGAAGTACTCTGATGAGGTAGTAAAGGGTAAATAAATTATCAAATGGTTAACAGGTTAGCGACCAAAACACATAGTTTCTGGAGTTTCTAAGTTGGATTAAGTCATTTTTTCCCAGAAATCGTTTGTGTTGAGATTGCTTGAAAAATAAAATTTATTTTATGAGTTTCGTAGTTTATTTGCATTAAGATTCAACTGAGCACATCAATAAAAGCAACATGAACTCTAATAATCGGTGATCTAGAAACCACATCCTATATTTATGAAGTACAACAATAGTTTGTTATTAAACTGTGCAAGCACAGTTCACACCGATATGATAGTCTTCGAAAGAAAGAATCTAACTTCACAAATCCTAGAAAGAAAATGCTGTAAACGCCGAGCAGTCACACCAAATTATATGTCACTAGTAAAACACAATATTGTGATAAACTTCAAAAACATAAACCATTAATGTTAAGTAAAGTGTGGTTACTTAATTAGGTCTAGAATCAAAATAATGTTCCATTAGCTGGTGGTACCTAACTGTCAAGATCAAAACGTTTCTTCTAATGCTATCCCTCAGCCCTAAATCCATGTGGTCTTCCAAAACCCTTACGTAAAAACGTGAGATTGATTGAGCATAAAACTTTAAACTAGAGTAAACGAATATTGCAACCAGGAAAATCAAGGACAGGCTAAAAAACTAATCATTCTGTGTCCTGAATATGAAATCATGTCAGTCAATATTAGTAATTTGATGCTTTATTACCAAGTTACATTTTCAAGAAACATGGGAATGAATGTTAGCGAAAGCACGTTTATTTGAAATCTTGAAGGAACTTACTACAAAGAAAAAGCTTAACTGGTTAGAAAGGATAAAAATATAAGAATAACCAAACTACATATGAAACACAGGTGACTTCAAATATTTCTACATTTAAACACGTTACTAAACTTCCGTCAAACTGATATCCTTGGAATTCGCACTAATTAATTATGGCTTTTTTTCTTTTGTTTTAAATATTACATCTGGAAGCATGTCTACATTTCCATTTGAATAGTGAGTTTACTAATTGAGTGCTTTAATAGTTTATCAACAAATATTCAACATTTATCATTTTCGCTTCATTGAATCATTTTTAGAACTAAGGTAAAGCTGTAACAAAGATCTTATTGAAAGAAATAATTTACGCTCATCTCACCCCATAAAGCACCTTGCTTTCACTTCATCTATCTATGTGTATGTACTGAAATACAGTGAGAGATGTGGTTGATTATTTTTAAATAAAATCAATTTAAACTTGGTGTTAGGTACTCCCAATAATAAACTGTTTAATATTTAACAAGCTATTTTTGTGTAAAATAATTTATTTGCTTAGATAACAATTGTTTTCATGATTAATAATTTTAGCGTCACTTACCGTCACCAGAAATGTTAAAAAATAAAATACTTTTGAGTATTCGCTTAGTCAGAACAACCAGATCATTATCCGGTAAGTAAGGTGATGTACTAAAATGAATTGGTTTTATTGTATAAAAAATATTATGAAATCCGTCATAATAAGAACAATCAGTCAGCATTTGATAAAATGTGTGCTTTCATTTGCGAAAATTATTTATATACGCAGTCGTAAATATTTTGAGTGCAGCCAACGCGAACAACTTAGCACTGTTATATGAACAGAAAACCTAAGTTTTAATGATTGTATCGTTAGTTAAATTTTAAAAAATTAGATTCAAACATTGGGTACTGCATATTTATTAACCAGTAGCTACTTTGTAGATGGCTGAATTATGTGAATTTCGAATTTTTTGCATTACGGTCTTATTTATTTACTAGTTAGTTAAAAGCGAATTATCCTCCAACAGTTCCTTTCCGTTATAAAAACAAAAGAGATAACATGATCTTGAAAATTAAATATAATTCGAATGAGTTATTTTACAGTATACTAATAGGAATGACTGAATAATCTTATTCATTATAACCGAACGGAGATGCTCATACGAATAAGTTAACAAAGGAGGCAGTACAGAACAAAATTATAAAGCATTGTACAAAAGATAAAAATATAATTCATCTTAATAACCGGTCACTTGGTGTAAATAGAGGAGACATTGGATCTGTTCAGTTTGTGAGTTAAATGTATACAGTGTTGCATCTGAAAAACGAAGGGTAAAGATGCATGCTGGTTGCTTTCGTATACATATTACCTGAATCACAACGTTTAGAAACTGAAGTGTTTGTGATGACCATATCAATGTCACGTACGTTAGCTAACAAATTCTATCTGTTGATTCAGATGCTTCTTGTTTGAACCGGTGAAATACATGAGAACACTTTGTATAACTGACACTTGTTTTGTCTAAAACGATTTAAAAAATCTCCTCTAAATGTGATCAATAAGAAGGAAGTTTTAGAAGTATCTTTTATATTCGCTCAATACACATGTCAACATTTCAATTAAGAAAGAATCTTGCCAACTTCAAAAACACACTAGTTTCCTATTGTTTAAAAAGATTCTATTATGGATAGAATTATTTCTTTTGTATAATTTTCACTATCATGTAATTTCATTAGTCTTCATGTCTTAGTCATCGATACAGTAACAACAGAAATATTTAGAGCGGGAATTTAATGTAAATCCAGAATAGATTTAAAATTCTTATTTATTTGAAAGAAAAATCACCTTATTGAAAGAAATGAATAAATGCAAAACCAGTCTTGGCAAGGTTGTAAAATTAATTTAAACTCATGAGTTGAAAACACTTTTATTTAACAATCGTCGTATACCTTGAATTACAATTAAATATCTCTCAAACAACATAGAGATTTATGTTACAGTAACCATGTCGAAATTCGTTTGAATGGGATATCATAATAAGATGGAAATATTAAAGGATAACCAGAAAGTTTAAAGATTAAATGACATTAAAATAATGTATTAATACGTAAAGCTAAAAATTGTAAACGTCAGGGCGAAATTTTGCAATACTGAAGATTCGTAGCTTAAATATATGCTCTTGTGGTTATTTCATTCGCTGAGCTGGTTGGTTTAATATCAAGCGTTTCTATGACTTTATGTGTAACACCATCAATCCCTTTGTCGAGCATACTTTTATTTAACTTCTATACAAACAGACGTTGATGATTTTGTTCTCAACTATAATTTAAGCCTTATGGTTAAACCATTTGGCTTAGAGGACTTTGGTGAGTGCTTTGCAAAATATTACGCAAAAGTGTTCTACTAGAGATTTTTAAAGTGTATCTTTAAGAAAGATATACATATAATAAAGTATCTAGATATTCTATCCAGTCACCAGAGCCCGAACACAGGACTTACAGGGTCTGTGATGAACGCCTACTGGGCTTGAATTCAATTGTTTCCACTTTTAACTACAGTTAGTTTGCGATACTTCATGCCCCATGGAGCCTGAAGGACCAAGGATTTTTCATAGTTGAGTCATGGTTGGATACGGCTGAAGAGACTCATACTATGATAAAATAGCATTCCATTACCCCCTGGTTTCCAATAATGCTTAAACTAAAGCTAACACGTGATGAAGAACTTCAAGTGATATCCATATTTGATGATATAGAGTGTAATTTTGTGGTAAATATAAGAGTCCTTTTTTCTGTTTTGCAAAGTTCAATCATATGCATTTCTTTAAATTACAACGTGGTGTTTTTTAATTAATGTAAGACATTTTATTTCATTATTTCTACACTGATTGCTAAATATAAACAGCACTTTTTCTATTATATCGTGTACTCAAAACATAATGAAAGTAAAAACATATTTCTCATTAATATGAAGACAAAGTTGTCTTAAATCTCTATTGTAAAATGTTGTCCAATAAATAGTTTTTCATTGAACAGATTAAATCACTGAGTCAATTGTTAATTATATTTATAAATTAATTAATTTATATGTTAATTATTGTTTTATTAGCTATCAAAATGATAAAATGGCTATTTGAACAGAATAATTACTTTTCTCATTACTTGTTCTATTTCTTTCTTTTATCTACTCTAGAAGATCAATCACAAGAGTTAGTGACAGACAAAGTACGTTTTTGCAGACAGTAATATATAATGAATTAAGATAAGCAATTAGTTAATTGTAATTTATAATAGTAATAATAATAATAATAATAATTTTCATTATGTTTTATAATTGCTTCAAACTAATTTGACATTCAAAACAAATACTAAGTTTCCTTTTAGTAGAATACATTTGATTATATCTAGTAATTGTTTTTTTTATATTTTGCACAATAAAAAAAGGACTGAATAGTTCGTTTGCTTTATCTTATACGATTGAGTACATCTTTTTCAAGAGAGATTGGATGAAAGAGGTATAGAATCCATAACAAGTTGTGGTAATATCACTGTTCATATAGCATATATATATATATATATATATATATATATATATATATATATATATATATATATATATATATATTTAAATTGAAGTCATAAGAGGATTTGATGTTGACTTAACTTTATCACAACTAACTGCTACTAAAAGGTTGATGACTGAATTTTAATTGATTAACTGTATGATTCTGTACTTGTCTACATTCAATCTCGAATATAATCATAATTTTTCATCGACTAGAATTTCTAGACTGAAACTCGTAAATTATTTATTAGACGAAAAAGATGAATCATTTTCATTGGCTTTCACCTAAATAAGTTTAATTATCTTTGAAACTCCTCTACAGCTTCAAAAACAGTATCGTCGAAAAGAAAAACTTCTTTGTTGAAAGATTTTTCTTTTCGACGAAGTATTTGTTTAGTAACAAAATTATATTTTAGCCATTTCTAATAATACATTATCTGTAACTACGTCACAGAGCCAAGGAAAACTCAGTTTGTAAGCTACCATAATATCACTATTTAGATCACTTTATTTCAAAGTTTTTGACCGAGTATGTATCTATGCGATTGCGAACGATTCTGAGCCATGTCATTCAAAGTCACTAGACACCGAGGACGATAATCACACAGATTTTAACCAGATAGCCTGCATTTACCCACAAAACCCAATTTAACAGTCAATGCTTCCATGGGTTGTCTCCTCATATGTCATCCCCCTCTCCTATATTTCACCCGACCTAATTCTTTACCAGCCATCATCGCACATCGAGATAGGCACTGATTGAACATACATGATATATGCCTCAACCACCTTAATCGAGGAAGATTCACTACCTCATTAATCTATTTGACATACCCATGGAATAAGCTGCGTATAACCTTATTGTTGCCAACTTAGTAGTCCTTACATACTCGATCAATGCTTTGAGGCCACCTTTAATTAAATGCTAGTAGCCCACAAATATATTTATCTTTGAAGGTCATGTTTCACAATCATAAAATTAAAAGAACAAACTACTGAGCGTCACACTCGTATTTTGTTTTTCTGACGGCCATCTCACCTTCGCTACACATGATCCTGGTTGCCGAACTCCAATCGAACTTGCTATATTTGTGCTAATATTTCGTCAAACATAGATCCACCGAGGCTGATGATATTTCCACGATAGAGGAAGTGTTTGACGTACTTAACTACTTCAGTCCCCATTATCAATTCAGACGTTAAAACATACCAGTCATGGCGCAATTTTTTTACTGAGAGAGATAGAAACGCATTCCAAACTCCTGGCATTGTTGCTCAGGATGATCATCACCTTAGCCAAATGAAACTACATATTCTAAGTTAACAGGCAGATCTCTCGGTATGAGTTCAATTCCTGAAAGTCAGAGGATGAGAGCGTAACAATGTGACGGAGTTAAATAAAAATAAAGTGAACAATCCTGACGAATTCTACTTGATGTTGTCAACTCTACTGACAGTTGACCAGAATCTTCGACTCGACTAGTAATGTTCAAATAAGGATTCTGTTAATTTTTGATTTATTTCGTTAATACACCTTTCAGTGACGGGCATCACCGTAAAAATTGTAGATCTATGGAGATGAATACTCCCTCAAGGTCCAGAAATACGACTATGGTTGATAGCCAGTAAGTTTGTCAGTGTTTCAGAACCTAATGGAAGCGAATGTTCTACTGGTCCATCAACATTCGGACGTGAAACCAACCTACTTTTCCTATGTTTTCTGTCCATAAGTCCCGGTTGAGATTCGGATGGCTATTGTAGCTGGCAGTACAGATACTATATTGGACAAACTAATACCTCATTGGTTATCACATGAGGACTCTAGTTCATTCTTATAAATTGAGATGGTCTGTGAGAAAGAAAATTCAGACGAGATTAAGTATAGTCCCCAGAATCTGTATAATATTTCAACCAATCTGACTTCTAAAATTGGTACATCATTCCTAAAAACCTCTGAGGTTAATCAATCATCACTTTCCACTTCCCCTCAATTTAAAATAACTATAGCTTTTTCAAGTCCTTTCGAAATTGTGAAGCTTATGTCGACATCCCATTAGTAACAATAGGTGTCTGGTGGCTAGTGGAACTATGCTTTTAAGTACCACACTCACAGTCATAATCTCCTGCACTGAAAATGGATCATAGTTTCATATTTTTGCGCAATAGTCGAATTTTCGATGCTTGTTTCCTTGATCGATCTGGAAAGCTTAATTTTGTTATGTATCACTGCTGTCTCTTTTATTTCTTTTGATTTTTCTCCTTATCACTGATTGCAGTCGTGACGTAGACCTCCAGACAATCGATATATAGTTTTCCTATGATCCTCATTGTGTTCGAAATCTGGTGAATGGGCTTCTGAACATTTATCAGTTCAGCAAATGTCTCTGAAATCCACTGATTTTTTGAAAAGTTGATTTAAGTCATTGGTAGATATTACTGCCGTCTTCTCAGATGTCTGTATATCTTACAAAATTAACTAACTTCTCCTCTAGTTCTTCCCAGAATATAATCTTGACTTTTTCGTCGTTAAGCTGAAATTTGTGAAATCATGCTGTGACTTTCTTTAGTCCGACAGGACGCGAATTATTTCATGTCCCAACTAGAACATGATCAGAGTCTAAAAATAAGCACAAGAGTGAGTGGTAGTCTTCTATTGAGCCTATGCAATGATGGCTTATAACAACGTGGTTCATTTGAGTCCATCACCTAGTTGATTCTGAAGGTCTTTATACTGAGCAATATCTCTCCTTTTTTAATTTAGCGCTTACTGGAAATAAACCGTTATTGCAGTATAGTCATATCACATGATTGCCGTTATCTGTTCACCGAGCTGAAGGGTCGTATAATCTTTCTAAGTATGTTTCAATCTGGTCCAGACCACCTTCTTGAGCAATAAAATAGTCTGATTCAATTACGAAGCCGGTACATTTGATTTTTTGAGCGAGAGTAGAGTAAGCTGTAAGCTACCACCAACCCACTGTATCAAAATACGACTGTCAGGCGTGGGTATATAATAATAATGAGACCTTACTTCAATGCTTTTTGCAACTACTTAATACTACTCTAAATACAGTCTGTGAAAAAATTGCTCTCATTCTTAACAAAGCAGAAAAAATTCACCCTCATAAACTACTTTTGACTGGTTGCTTAACATCAGAAACCCTGATCTTAATAATTTAATTATCGAGAAAATCGATATTAAGTGAATATTTTCCTCTTTTTTTTGCTGAATAGAAAACAAATTCGTCAAGAAACTAAATGTACCACGCTTATTTCTATCTGAAAAACAGATATGCCTATAGTTTATTGAGAAGAATCAAAACAACTAGACAACTTTCTCAAGGTCCCATCACTTAATAACGAAATATTATTCTAATAAAATTTTTAAAAAATATTTAAATCCAATAAAATCACCATTCATTGCATCATCAATATTTAACAGCATTACAAACATTAAACTTTATTTCGTTTACTAACAATATAACCAATTTTTAACTAGAAATGAAAGAAAATAAAAAAATGGAAAAAAATAATAAAAAAAAAATAAAAAATAATTGTCGTATAATAAAAGAACATTAAATATTAACGTTTTTACTATTCATTTATTCACAATAATGATAAATAAAATGTCATAAATTTAGTTTATATTTTAAATATCTTTTTTTGACGTAAACCTTGTTTATACTACAAAACGAAAAAAAGTGCTTGCTCATCAGTTTTATTCCAGTTAGTATGATTGTCAGAATATATTTATGTGATTAGACAAATTTATGATTATCATTTCAACAGTTTCAAATATGTAGAGTAGGAAAAGACATTTAGAAAGATAGTCGAATGAATTATTGACATCGGTGGTTAGTGAAATTTAAAGATAATTTTCATCATGAACTGCGTTTTCAATAAAGATGATGTTAGTTGAAAGGTGAAAATTAACTTTATAATTAAAACAACCTATAAGTACATTCCACCCTAACGATGTACGAAGTTGATTGTAAGAAGATAAAATCATGTAATATGTCTCTCACCGAACACACTAAGCTTTAGATTTAGTCAAAAGTTTATTGTAGATCAGGTTTGTTAAACAGTTTGATCAATGTAACTGCAGAAATTGACTACCCAAGGGTGATGACCACATGGTTAATAATCTGAAATTTTTACAAGAGAAATAACTAATCAATACGAGAACATCTTTAAGATTAACTAAAATAAGTTTCATAAAATATCAGTAATATTAAGTATGACTTATTTATGTTATAATCACATCAGTACTAATATTTTGTTCACCTAATGACAGTACCAATAATGTTTTTCGATAAATTAAATGTTTTATTCTTTATCCATTAATGTATAGCCACAGAGTCACTTTACTCAAACAACGCTTTTGAAAAAGTCAGAAGTTGCTTCACCATTAACTGTATTTATTACAAATCCTGAAGGTGAACAAAAAGTAAGATAAGTATATCCCTAATAGTATTTAATTTTTTAGCTTACATTTTCGGTATTAGCGATACTCCTTTCCAATATTTTGAAGAAGAAAATACCATTTTCTTTTAACCCTGTGTTAGAAATTTTTCAGTACTCTTTTGAAAGTAATTTTTAGTAAACCTAGCATAAAATGTCCTTGATATTGAGATTAAGTAATTACACTTACTTATTTACTTACGCTTGTCACCCTTCATGAAGAAGCATAAGCCTTCCATCAGCATTCTCTTGTCCTGGACGATCCTTTTCAATTCTTTTTAGTTGCTATCCATCCTTTTCATATCTGCCTTTAATTCCTAAAGCAGTTCGTTCTTTGGCCTTTCACTTTTCTGTTTCCATTCAGGATTCCAAGTTGTCATTTATCTAGTGATGCAGTTAGGTGATTTCCATAACGTATTTCCTATCCAGCTCCAAAGTCTTTTCCTGATTTTATCTTCATTTGAAAGCTGGTTTGTTCTCTCTCACAGTAGGCTGTTGTTGATGGTATCCAACCAACGAACATTAATTAATTACACCAATGAGTAGATTTATTAAACCATATGAATGAAGTAATAAATAAACCGATTAACACTCTAGTGTAATGATATCAGTTCGAATATATACTTCAATCAGTTTCTTCTGCTAAATGAAAGAATCTATTACTATTTTCCGTTAATTTTTTGAAGTTCTGTTGGGTTTTCATGAAGATGAAAATTATCAACAACCTTTTTGGAAACCTCCTATCAAGTGAATCAAACAAAGGTGAAAATGACTGTAAATTATGAGGATTTTAAAATGTTCTGTTAATAGTTGGTGAACATTTTGAGATTAATCTCTGTAAACTCTTTAATGAAGCTTGGGAGAATATTAGATTATATATATTTTATGAATTCTGCAGATATGTGCTTGGAAACACTTACACAGCAGCCTATTCAAAATTCTACGCCAAAATGTTTTCAAACTTGTATTCATTTCCATAAAACTTCGTGTTTTAGATTTGTTCAAATAATTATGCATGTCAACAGTGTGCGCTTACATGCTTCTATAAGATGTTTACAGCTTATCGTAAATCTGATTAATGAGGAATTCAAAAACACTACTACAGTATTTCGTACATTCTTCTTCACTCAGTTTATTGAGAAGCGATCATTATAGATTTCGCACCTCAAATATATTAGACGATACAAAGCGATATAAACATTCACAGATGAGTTTGAAGAGCAGCTAATCACTGAATAAAATCGTTTGATATACGTTCTTTAAAAAATTTACAAGATAAATCTTTATGTATCGACAATTTTGTTGCGATTTCTCAAATTCTGTGATAAAAGATTTTTGCCGTAATCATACAAATGGTAAGATTATCATCATTAACTCGAGTGTGAAACCAGTTCTATGCTTCCTTTGTGTTATTGGTTTAACCAGAAAGCTATGGAAAGCAAGTTTAGTAATCTTAAGTCATATAGTTTAATATAACAGCCAAGGCTCAACTTATCTTCTGAAATCACCTAATTTTTTCAATTTTGTCATTTAACTAACGTCAAATATTTGAAATGTTATGAGCTAATACTAATTTCAAATTTTCCTGCACTACTTAAAATCTTTTTAACTAAATACATTCATGGAAGTCCTCTTTAGTAGTGAGAAAGTAACTCCAGAACCATTAAACATGAAAAGATAATTTATGAACGTTCCGAAAGACTTACAAACTAAGGCTAAATAATATCAAAGTACTTTTACAAAATTTTAATTATTGTTTCGCTTGTATAACCTTTATTTCATATAAAGTGCACTGAAAGCCCGGTTGTGTTGTTTCGAAATTGATCACTCGCAAGAATTTTCTAATAGAGCATTCATTTATATATATATATATATATATATATATATATATATACTAAACTTTCTTAGCATTTGCTTGATATCTATTTTATATAGATAGAACAACTTTAGTTGTTCAACTAATTCTGTTCACAGAAACGACTACAATTTAATTAAAATTTCAGTTATAGCAAAATGAACTGCAATTAGCTGCGTTTCTCAACACTACATAATAACAAGTCGTCCGGTCATCTAATCGATCGATTCATGTATTTATTAAACTTTGTAACCGATTTTCTTCTTACGAACGGTACACTTCAAATAACTATAATTTGACTTCAAGATGGATCTAAATGCATGAACTGACATCATGTTGTCATAACATAAGACTTTAGTAAGGATAGTCAGTGGATGATGGTGAAATTTAGGACAAGCATTTCTTATCATTTGGGACCAGTCATTTAAATGTACCTCCATTCCGGTGCTAGTGTTTACACTGGGACTTAATGCCAATGAGAAGATAACATTGATAAACAAATAAGATAAGTAGTTACAACTTTTATCGACTCAACAATTGAATTTATTGTATATCACTATGAAATAAAATAAGATGGCATATACAGTTACGTTGAATGTAATAACGGTGAATATAAATGATTTTTTTATTTCCGTTTGGATTCCCGTTCTATAGAACTTATTGAATCAAATTTCTCTTTATATAAACTCTGCAATCACCTCTCCTTTATGAATTAAGACTTCACAATTATTCATCACAACCAACATCAATCTGGTGTGGTAAGTATTTTATCCAGAATGATGAAGAACAGGAGGGTTAAGAATATGTTAAATGCTAAACTATCACGAATTGGTTGAGTTTGAAATAAAACTCCCAAATCTTTCAAAAGTGGCCAAATAATATTGCGATTGTTACTAGACATTAACTTAATTGATTTGATCGCAAGAGAACCTTGCATACTTATTGGTAAGAGGCCTCAGGTTATAATGAAACAAGTACTCAGTGTTACCTTGTTTTACTGGTTTCCAAGAGGATGACATTCCTTTATGAAACTATCGTTTGCCCGACAGTAATTTTTGGTCAATATGCAGTATTTTTAAGGTAGAGTCATTGTACCTAAAAAATTCACAGATAACACTATCTTTATCGACCATTTGACGTTATGTCGATCTACTAACGAAGGTTTATATTTTTTAGAGTGCAAGTCAAGATATAGCGTCTACCAACAGTAGTAGTCAACTCAGTCCACCAGTTAAGCACAGGTTGAGCTTGAACAAAATACTTGACAAATCGGTAACATCAGAGGACCATAATTCGAATGGTTGGCTTCCAAAATGTTACGGGATGTATACAAATAAAATAATCGATCGAGATGCCGCATTTTCTAGCCAAGATGAGGTAAGCTATTTACATCCACGTCTGGCCAGACTTGTAGTATTGCCGACGCCAGATTTTCCTCCTGATACTTGTATAGCATTACACCATCAGTATTTGCTTCGGAACTCCAAGTCCAATCTGGTGGATTTCGATGTTAGGCACATAGAATCTAATATTTTACGAAGGCTACAGATTAGAAGAAAATCCGAAGGACCAATACATGATTCAAAAAGTTTCAAAAACATGAGTTCTGTTAATTTTGACAAAAATGATGGACAGCCAAACAGAAAATTGGAAGAATGTGAACTTCTTACTTCTCTGTTTAACTTGATAACTACTCGGAAGGCCCAGCTAAAACACAGAGATAGGAAAAGAAGATTACTTAAACGTTTAATCACCGAGGTCTGTGGAAATATGACTAGCCAGAAAAGATCAACATCAGGTGTAAATAATACCCCATCTTCAAACAGAAAATATACATGTAAGTCTGAAAGGGTTAAAAATATATATATCTACATTCGGCGAGACTATAATTTATGGACGACCTTTGAGTGACGCCGAAGTGACCTTAAGAGTGAATAACTACTAATTAGGATTAAATGAGAATTATAAAGCAGTTAGAATTCTTATTTACAGTTGATGGTTAGGGTTGAAAATTAGATTTAGGGTTTTAATCACGAACTGACATCAGCTATAATACCAAAACTCTATTAAGCCAAATGTATGGATGAATTCCGCGCCCAACTTCGTGACTTTTTATCTCACATCTGATTGGTTCGTCCATAAATTGCAGTCTCTCCCTACATTCTATTTTAAAATTATTCGAGTGGATTAATTCTTTAAAACAAAGATTAAATTCTTTACTACACATTTTTTGCCCATTATTCATAATCGAAGTGTGCAACTTAGATGAATGAATTAGATAAGCAGAGTTCTCTTTGTTCACGTTATATGTCTATGATAATTTATTATTGGTACGTTTTAACACAGATCCACTTAATTTAGACAAAATACACTCGTTTGCTGTTGCGAACTACTGTTGTAATAAATATGAAGCGATAAAACTTTTGAGTCAAAATCACTTCGTTGTTTTCGAATTTAGACACGTTAAAGATCACATGAGTTCCTAATTACAAGACTAAATTAGTTACATTAAACTCAATGAAGTAAATGATTACCCTCAGTAAATGTTGAGCACAAAAATTACTGCACTATTCTCTATTTTATGTTACAGCAGTCGGAGTTATTATCTATTTTCATTAATAAAATTCGTGTTTGTTATAGTATACCAACCTCAATAGTAAATAGTAAAATAAAAATGTTTTGCTATCCTGTTGTTTTAATGAGCTTATTAAAATGATTAGCATACCATTTGCCTGGGTTTTAACCATGGTTCGAACATTTCAATAATAAAAGCAAATCCAGGTGAGCCGAGGTTTTGGAATTACGTGTATAATCCTCAGAATAACCGATTGATTTACGTGTAGATTTCATTTCAATTAATTGTAATAACTTAATAAAAGTTAAGAGGAGTGATTGTTCAAGTAAATGTAGTCATAATGGTCATATTCAAAAGTATATATACAACTGGGATTCAGCGGTTCGCATTTTCAGCTTGTGATGATGTACGATCACCATTCGCTGTTATCTGTACTGTCCGTCTCACTCCTGATATGGCCGAACTCTACTATTTAGAGATTCCCACTAGCTTTTATGGCTTACTTAGCTAAGGTAGGTTCGTGTTGTAAATCACAATATGAACAATCTAAACAAACCTGTTTTATTGGTTCTTTGTATGAATGAGAAATTAATCACAGTATTTTAGTTAAATAAATTTAGATCACGAAAATATGGGAGGAGAATTGTGCTTTTATCGAACTTTTTAATTTATAATGGAGCTGAATATTGGTATAATGTCCCCGAAGCTGGTCAAGACAAAAAAGGACACACAGAGATATCGTTTATTAATCTATATGGATATGGGACTTTGAGACCGACCATCTCCAGTAGAATCATGCTAAAAATATTAGGAATAACCAAGTCAAACGTGATTTCTGGACTGTTTAATCTAGACTAATATTGAAGAGTTCGCGTCCATCACAACAAATCTGACAAGCTGTGCTAAGAAATATTGATAAGTGCTAAAAAATAAATTTATAGAATATCGGTTCATGCTCCTTGCAACACAATCTAAACAAAAGTGCTTAAAACTGAACAAAATCCAATGAATTAGATTCTTCCTCACAATTACTTTTTTTGTTAAGCAGTTTCATGTAAATGTGAGTTTACTGTTTCCTCTAATTTACATGTTCCTTTAAAAGAAACGAGTTACATACATTTGCTTTCAGTGCAAAGTATAGATAATATAGTATAGATAATATCGGGATGAAATCCGTCTTCTTAATACTTTATCTAGAGAAACGGCATTGATATCAACAATCAGCACATATATAGTTCATTGATATGAAGTAGAAAGTGGTTTGGTTGAAGTTAGACATTAAGACTGTTGGATGCCGGCTCAGTGGTTTAGGGGTTAAGCGTTCGCGCACGAAACCGTAGATCTCGGGTTGGAATTCCGCGTGCGGGATTGTGGGTGCACACTTCTGAGAAGTCCCATACTAGAACGAGACGGCCGTCCAGTACTTCCAGGTCTTCAGTGGTGGTATAACATTTACTGATTCATGTTCTCAGTCAAAACTCAACAGTCACCACAACCCTATGATGATGGTGATGAAATAATTCAAATTAACGCTGGTAACTATTTGAAAAACAAGCTTTACTAATAAAATCTGAAATAAATATTCCGTGATCAATTCTCTGGAGAACTGAAGAACACAACTTTAAGGCTTATGGTGAATTAATCAACTATTGATTAATTATATCCAGATAGTAACAAACGATGTAGCTAATTTGGTCGTATCTCTAACATTTACTTCAATCAGTTCAATCTATTGAATTTATTTAAAACTATTAGTTTGATACAACTGAAATAGTTGACTGATATTTATGACACATAAATGTGTTTATTTATGCACTTAATAATTATGCTTTACTTATCTATCTCATTATATTTAATAAATTAGGGTCAAATGCTTCAGAGGCTCAACCAACAAAACTGGATCATCGAACAGATAAAATTACAACAAAGCAAGACAAAGGATGGTTTAAAAATCGAATATGTGCTTCACCAAAAAAACCAGAAGAATTGAATATCAGTTCAAAAGACACTCTATTGGCTGCAACAGTAAGATATGCTCGTCGTTTATCAAATGCATCTGTATCAAAATTCAATCTATCAGTTAACTCTTCACCGCGAAATTCTGAATGTCGTGATGTATCTACGGACTCTCTAAACAACCAGAAACACCCGCAACATTTGAATAATCAATTGGATGCTGACGGAAACAAAAGATCTGCAAGTAAATGAGTTTAGAAAAAATTTCGACCTCCTTTATCTCAGTACAAAAACTAACTAGATCTAATTATCTGACTGTATGACTAGCAAAAGCACTGGAGTTTTATTTATTAAATCCATAACAGTTCACACTCACTATGTAATAGATTACAATAATGCACGCATATCACTGTACCGATAACGTGTTATAAAGATGTTACAATTATTTAGATATACTGTATGTGGAGGTTGTAATGCATAGGGTATTCTTTATAATTTACAAAGTAACCAAGATGTGTGCAATATGTTTAGTTATACCTTGGGAAAAATTGGAATACGATAATGCCGTATGTTTTCAAGTGAAACTTGAAATTCCTGCTTTAGCTTTGGTTTGGTTTGATTTAAAGAATCTGATTATACAAGTCATCATATGTCATGGCCCCTATTTTGAACAGCTTTAATTTACTTGATGCTGCATTCTAAATATTCCATTAAAGAATAACATATTATGTTAATAAAAACCTTCATACCATACCTTCTCTCGTTTCATAATGATAGTAAAAAGTGTTAAAGATTTTTAACTATTGTTTTTCTTCTAGCCACTTATTTCGTAAAAGATACTCACAATTTCCTTAATGACTAGACTGAAAGTTATTGTGTCATTTACATTCATAAAACTTGAAAAATGTTTTGTTCAACAGTGAGCTACTACCATATTCCATAGTTAATTCTAATGAGACATGCTGAATCTTTATTGATTTTAGTCCAAAAAAATTTTTGTCTAAACTTCAACTCAGCGAACAATTCATTACTAATTATTGCAATGTTAACTACTCAATGTAAAACATTTTACTGGTTTATTTTTTCTATTCCCTTCTTAAATCAGGCATTTATGAAGAAAAAGAAAAAAATTATAATGATTTCATTACAAAAACTTCATCTTTACCTATGAAAAAAGAATTGAAGCAGAATAATAGCAACAGTGATCGTAAATCATCCAAGCCTCAAAATCCTAAACAAACAAAAGATTTAAATAGTCATACCTCAAAAAGACAATCACGTAAATCTACAGAAAGTGGACATAAACGGAGTCCTACTTCCAGTTGTGGTCATTGTTCATGCAGTAGTGGCAGTCGTAGTGACAAAGGCTCACCTACACACGAAGCTCCTCAACACCAAACTGGACAAACGAAGTTGAGTTACTTCCGTGATGGTATACAAAAGTTGAGAAATAAATTTTCAAGCGAAAAAGAAAAATCGTTTGAAAATTATGTACCGCGCTTTCATTCAAATAGCATTAGTAAATTAAGAAATTCATGGAGTGAAAGTGAAGCAAGTAGCAAATCAACTGATTCACTGTCCAATAACAGCATTTCAATAGATTCATCACCAACTGTAGAAACTTCATTATCATCAGATACAGAATCTTATCGAAGTAAAAGTAGCACCGATAACAGCATCACCAGTAATTCATCGGAAAACATGGTGAATAAATCGAAAAGTATGGAATCACCGATAACAACCAATGTCAAGAAAAGTTTTCAAACACGTCTATCAAGTGTTCGTCATTCAATTACATCACTAACCAATGCCTTATTCCATCAAGATAAAAATACTGGTCGCAATATTTTACAAAAACAATCAACTATCGAAAGTCAAGAAAGTGATTTAGAGTCTACAAAAGATTATTGGATAGATTCATTAAGATGGTTTATTGGATCAAGAATTACTAATATTTCATCGGATGATTTAATTTATTTACTATCTAGAAAGCAGATGACAAAATCACTAGCAAGGTATAGTTTCCTGATGTATTTATTGTCCGGTAATTTTGTGTATATTCATCTTCCTTAGATCAATCATATATGAGTGTAGATTGGTATAAAAGAGATTTTAAGTGTGACTAAACAAATGTTTACTACTACCTAGTTTCTGTTATACTGCAGACTATGTCAGTTCCCAAGAACAACTAAGAAAACTCTAAAAGACCTATGCTCACAAGTATATGCTCACAAGTCATAATTAATTTTCCAGATTTGTTTTGCTTTTCATGAAAGCCTTTTAACCAGTTAACTAATAAATACAAAAATTAATTTTCACCAAAAAAAAGTGGTGATGACTAGTTAAAATTTTATTTATTGTTTTCTATTATTTCTATTTTTATTTCCACTGATATCTTTTTACATTTCACCTTAGATACAATAAAGAACGTTTAACCTGTGTTTTCTTGTCGGATCAGGAAAAGTCATGGGATGTTCATCAAGTAAGTTCAGGACTTATGGCTTTCAGTTACTGGTTTACGTATTTTAATACCTTTTTACCTCCAACAATATGGGCAGCAGACCAGTATATCTAGCTTTTTTATGTCTACTGAATTTTGTCGATAAGCTAATTCGTTGCCAGAGTTGCCAAAGTTTCCTCAAATGATCAGCCTATAAATTTTTAAGCAAGTTAAATAAAAACTCATGACATAAGTAGGTCTAGTAACATGACTGCCCCACCATTTATTTGATTTATAATGAAAACAAAATAATGGAACCTTCCAAGTACGAAATAAGCTGTTTAACCAAATTTCAGTACTTCAGATTATCGTTTAACTATCCGTAATTAGTTGGGTGGCATCATTCTTTCCAAAAAGTTTACGAAAACCTCCAATAAGATATTGTGGACAAACTGAACCTTAACTGAGGCGAAAAAATTTCTAAAATTGTGTTTCAGTTATTAAAGTATCACTGTCTACCTTTTCCGACGTCATATTAGGCTGTCACTACGTTATCGTTCAGCCTGTGGAACAGTACGCACGGGTTTCTCAACAAAAGTTAACTGATTTCACCGGTGTTGTGAAATTCTGTGAGAAGTAAGTCAGCCTATGAACCATATCATCAGAAAAAACATAATAAAATATCGTCATAATATTGCTGAAATTACTTTCAGTTTACTGTGAGAATAAACTATAACTTGGTTAGTTTGTGGATAGCTGTCTAACTGACTAACTTTATCGCATTGTTTGAGTTTACACTGTTGATGTGGTGGAGCAGATTTGTAGTTCAGGTGAAGTTTCGTTGTCTGAGCTAGATGGTTAAGGAGCTTTCATTGTTCTTATGAACAACATCATCAGCAAAAACTTCAGGTAGAAGTGAAGTGCTCGAATTTCTCGATATATAACTGAGTTTGTTCTGTCAACCTCAATATTGATTGATTATTGTTGGCCTTTACCTTATTTGAAGATATCAACATCAAGGTTGGACTTGATACTTTAAGTTAAATTGAGCGTTTGGTAGAAAAAATTGTATTTCAGACATTTTGCAAATTCATGCAAGTCACATCTTCAGAGTAAACAAATAATCGAAATAAAATTAACACAAGTTTAAATAGTAGAGAAGACAGCAGAATATTTTCAGTCCACTCAAAATCATAATAGGTCTGAACATGTAAATGTCGAGTTAGTTTGGTACTGTTTAAACTTGTAATAATTTTATTTCCGTTATTTATTGGCTCTGAAGAAGTGACTTATGTCTAGTCACGAAACATCAGAAATACAATTTTTTACTCATTGAAATATCATAAAAACATATTTATTATTACCTCTGTATTTGGATTGTACCTTCCTCTGATCTGAGTTTACACTGTGTTCTTTATACTCATTACAATGCATTTATATTTAATGACAAGTGGTTAAAACCAATCAGCAAGAATAATAGGCTAACTAGTTGTGAGCATAGTATCACTCATAATGAAACTCATACCAGACCTTAAATGGCTTTGCTTAATCTCACTGCTAATTCGGAACAATGAGGAGCCAGTTAGACATTTTCACTCTACTTAAGATGTTGATGCATAATGTTTTTTTACTGAGCATCTTAGAGCTCTGTAATGCCCAATAATTCGAATGCTGTCGTGTTGTCAATAGATGTAACGGTTTCTCGCCCGCAATGTATCTGGAAGCTTCCAAGTATACGATTGAGGAGAACAGTTTATCTGTGATCTTGGCAGAACTCAGCCTGCTCTTCGTTAGCCGGTTTATAGCATGCTATACATAGTCTGCACAGTGTGACAGAGGGACGCACTTTAGACTCAACTAGTAGCGGACTTAAACACTGACGACTGTCACATACATATAGCTGACGGAAAACATGACAATGTTCTTAGTCCATTTTGTCATATTTCCTCGAACTCAGTCTGCTCAGAAGAAGATTGTACATATTCATTACTAAATCATCTCTACCGTGTGTTGTATGGGGTCACAACATTTGATGATCCATCCAAACTTTTGGCTCGGCATGGGATTTTGTGTGGCCTAGTTACTTAGTACATAGCAATCTGTTCCAAATTCTTGGAGTGCTCTATTTGGAAGCCTGGAGGTCTATGAAAATTGTCGATAATAAGGCCGGTAATCTTTAAATTTTTCTTTGCTTTGCCAATGACTAAAACAAGCTGGAACAGTTTTTGGTAATCGCTAAATATGGCCGATCTCTATATTCCTATTCTGATTTCTAACTGTCAAGTTATTTAGTCTGTACATAAGTAAACTAGTGGAAAAAAAATAAATTCTAAAAGATCAACTGAAACCCAGTATTTCTTATTGAAATGCTTTTTGTAATTAAAATCAACTTCACAGATTATTTCCATGGCGATTTCACCAAGCCACAGATTTATGACGTGTCTTCTGAATAATCATAGCATAATAACAACTGTATTGCTGATGTAGTGTACCGAATCAAACATTAGAATTAATATATAAATTTCTGGATTTTAGAAAACATATATTGGCTTTTAGTAGAACTGAACTCAAAACCTTTTATTGCCCAAATTATTCATATGTCTAAATATGGATCTCTTCTTTCTTAATGCTCATTTCCTTTAAACCAGCTTTTCCGTTCTGTTGGGTGTCAACTAATCCCATATGGACTGGATATCTCAGTAGCCACATTTGACTTGGAGAAACCAATTAGCGTTCGCCAACAATTTATGAAACTTAATCAAATGGACGAATTACGAAACAGTTTTGCCATGTCTGAAAATGGGTGAGAGTACTTTTCAATAGCTTTTTTACTTACAAAAACTTAGTATCTGAAACTAACACTTCGATATTAATGCCATTTACGTAATTTCCAAATAACACTCAAATTTGGTGCCCATATCCGATAAAAGACATACAAACCAACCTCTCTTTGTAAGAATTTTTTAGTTTAACTAGGATAGATTGGGAAAATGAATTTGTGAGTTCCAAAGTTAATTGCTATATCTTCTGACATTGAAATCTTTTTGTTGCGTTCGGCATATCATAAAATGACAACATGTTTTAAAAAGGTAACCGATAGACTAAATTGCCCTAACACTCATTTCTAGTGCATTGTTAGTGAAGGATAGTACTTACATCTTATGTTATGTTAGACAAATAATAAAACGGAATATTACTAAATAAACTATAAACCGATATTAACAGAACTTTCGTGTGTTTGTTTGCAGGTATATTCTAAAACCTGCCTTACTGAGAATACCGACTATAAATCGTTATCACCGTAAACTAATTACCAGACGTAAATATCAGAAACTATTTCTAAAATCTCATCCCAATTCAAATAGTATGAAAAATCAACTTAGCAATTATTTACGATGTGCTTGCTGTTATGATCCATTGGATATAAGTTCAGAATGTGAATTAATTGGTAAAATTTATGATGGAATAACAAATCTGAACTGGTCAATAACTTCAAGCCACGAAGCTAACTTTTACCTACCATGGAATTATACTTTACAGTTGGTCAACTTTATGAAAATTCACAGTTCGTATCCTGAAAGTTCACTGTTAAACAATCAAGAAAACGTGGGAACTCAGTCTTATCAATATAATTCCGTGAAACCAAATAAATTACCTAAACGGTACCGACGTGCAGCTAATGCAACAAACACAACGCCAAAACGTCAAAGACATGCAAGTGCCAGTAGAACAGCAATAGTATGTAATGCTGCAAATTTCAAAAATCTTCAATCAACTCCTACAAAAGCTAATTCTTGGAGTTCGACTCAAATTAGACACCAAAGTCAAGAAAATATGAATTTGACAAATAAGAATATTGATTTTCACGAACGAAGTCGACTAAGTTCATTAAAAAGACACTCTGAGAACATAATAATCGAAGTAAGTCTTTATGTACTGGTTGAGATTTTCACAGTGCAATTTAATATCCACTGGTAGAGATAGATAATCGGTTACTTTTTTGACACTGATGCTTTTGGGACAGATATGTAAGTGTATACACAATTTTATTGCGGACAAAACACATTTTGATTAAATAACTTCCGCTCACTTCACATAATACACTTCTGAGTAAAATAATGACGTGAATTATGTTTCTCAAGCAATTTTCAGAGCCTTACTTTTAATCTTAATGTTATCTGATACGAAACTAGTGTGGAAGTAAAAGCATATACTGTAATATAAGTTAAAAAGCTAGAGATTTATTTGCCAGCTTTACTAATAAGAACACAAGTCTAAATATTCAGGATTCACAATAGATACTCTATATGAAACAAAGAGATAGAGAGAATTAAAAATCTTTACTTCATAGTCTAATGGCACTTAAAACTACTATACGATCTTGGAAACTATAAGGTACTAAAGGTATGACCAGTTTTCTCCACCTATGACGTCGAAAAACAACTAATAAAACCATTATGACTAAACTCGTACACGAAATTGGTCGCATTCTGACATGTTCTTACTTATTATCATGTCTGAATAAATGGGTACAAGGGCATGTGAGATTTGTGCATTAAGACTATATTACTAATGAGTAACTCGTCTTTTATCGTATAACTTCCTCGCTTATCTCATTGCCGATCCGATGGTGAAAAGAACCGGATTTGTAAAATTCATATGCTCAAAACTTCGACTTGAGTCCCGAAGTGGATATCAAGTACTTCATATTTACTTGTAATGATCATTCCACCACCATCATGGATAACAGAGAGCCTATATGACTAAACATAGTTCTAATTACAGAACCAAATACTCACCAATGAAGGGATGAGAAAAGAGCACCATCCAGAACCCGACAAATTTAATAAGATGTTTATCTGATACTTATGACTTAAACAGTTGCAACATTGTGAGCTGGTAATTACTATTGGACATGGAAAAAATATGTATCTTAATAGATTGGAATTTTCGGTCATAAATATAGCGGCAAATAACTGTATTACATGCTGATATAATAATATCAGCACCAGCAAGAACCTAACAGTTTTCCATACATACGTATAACACCACATAACACTAGTGAAAGCTTCATGTCTCTTTATTCATAATATATCGATATCTACCTACTAACTATTCGCTGTATATTCTAATATTTGAAACAAAAATCTGCAATCACAAGCTTGTCTAATGGAACACTTCTGGAAAATGTGCAGTAAGTATTCTTAAAATTAGGACGACTTCATCAGAGAATACGAAACAAAAGAAATGGATCCTAATATCGTGTGAACTAAAACCCGAATACACATGTTGACAAGTATGACTGTTAAAAATACTCTTAGTAAACTTTGTAATTACTATCGTAAACGTTCAGTATTATTTTGAAATTTCAGGCTGAAATCAAAGCGCCACTTTTCAAATTTTCACATCTTACTACAAACATATCAAAACGCTTTTGCCAAGTTCCAGAAGATCACAATATAGTACGCTATCGTCTTTACTCAAACAATTCATTATTTCCTACAGATGATGTAACTGCAAATAACCACTATACACTAAGAAAATCTAAAACACTATCAAGATCTTCTTACGCACTCTCATCAATGTTAAATGACAAAGAGAGGATTCCCATGTTCTCAAGCTTCAATTCAATGCCAAAAATTAGTTCTGAACTTATGCTAGATTGGCTATCTACACGTAAAGTTACATTTTCCCGTATACATTTGCCTGAATCAATATGTATTAGAATAAATACGGGGAGTCACAGAAAAAAGTGTGATAATATTAAATCATGCGGGAACGTGGAGAACGTTATTGCGTCGTGCATAATAAATTCAAATAGTCCACTAAATAAAGCATTAACAGGTTTTCAACATTTTCAACTTAAATTAGTCGATCAGTCTAAGACAAAAATAATTCCCCGAGAGGGGAAGGATGACGTTACAGAATTTGACCACAGTGTCTTTCACCAACACTTGAAAGCTACCATAGGTTTGCTGATATTTTGCAAGGTAAGCTTCATTAACTTAATTCACACAATAGACATTGGTGTTTATTATAGTTAGACAACCATGAAAGACCTACTAGTACTAAATATTTTTTTCCTTTTTTCGAACGAAATGTTTGTAAACCGTTTTATGATTACATTTTTGAGTGATCTCGCAGTAAGAAGCACCCACTTATTACTCCCTAATCTTGAATTACTTTTTGGCAAAAATCGTTTACGAGTCTCCCCTAAATCAAAATTTATTCAGATGTCCCCACGAATATATTACCATATGAGATTCTTAGTGAGAAGTGTACTGATTTTCCACCAACCTTCAAACTAATCAATAACAAAGAGAAGACAGCTGTCATGAGATTTGTTAATAAAGACAACTATGTAGAATTTCAAATTCATGAACGATTTTAAGCTGTTATAAAGTCCCGATTTCTTCCCATTTCATTTAAGAGCGTTTAATAATTTAACGTGGGGATAATGTGGGTCTCTGGTCTAACGGTTTCAGGATTTAACTTCTAAAATTTCAATTATGCGGCTGAGACCCGCTTTGCATGCTTTAGTTGAAACAAACGCAATGTCTGACCCCCATACAATAACAGTAATTCGAAGCTTGATGCAAACGGTTCCACTCTGTTACTGGATTGCATAACAGTAAATAATAATATACATATTCCGAAATTAATTTATGCTAGTTAATTTACATGGTTGACATTTTTTGGAAGAAAAAGTACCAATATTTTCGTGTTGAGATGAGCTTTATGGAACTAACTAGTAATGTGAGTCTTCATTCCTAAAACTGTTCATCTGGACAAGTTATATTCTTTTTGTTCGTGCTGAAATTCGCATGAATTATGATTATTTGCTTATGTATACATTGAACTGTACTTTAAATGCCTTTATTGTATTATATTTAGTTTTCCATTTATTTGATATCCGTTTTCAGATAAATATGGATACTTACGTACCCCATTCATTGGGTGATTTGATTGAAACACTAACCAAAAAATATGATACTCGTTTGAGAAGTATACCTTCTAACCAACAAACAAATGATAAACAGTATAATGCTAACCGTTCAAAAAGTTATCTGTATTTAGATCGACACCAAAGTATTAAGGAAATATCTACGTTAAAACAGTCAATAATCCGTTCCAATTCTTTTACCTATAAGGAATATGGTAAACATTTACAACAAGATGCTATTTGAGTGAATATATATGTGAGGATTATTTTAGCATTAATAAAAAGAGTAATTTTATTGATACAAATAGTGTAATGATAATCGTTCTACTGTTATAAATTCTGATTGGGACAGATGGTGTATTTTTCTTGAAGAACGTATCAAATAATCTTTACTTGGTTTTAAAATACATGAACACTCCATCTGTACAATCTAAGATATAGACTCACTTTGTAACACATGGTATATTGTTTATCGTAGTAGTCAAATAATTACGTTCTTTGTGCAAAATATACTTTATTTTACAAATCCTTTTATGTTTTTAACTAACAGAAAATATTGACAAGCCATACGAAAACGTTCTGATGACGAGTTCATTTACTTCATGGATATACTCCTCAGGTAGTAAATATTTTAATAATTATGAGCTAAAATAAACCACTTGTTAACATCTTTATGTACTCTTACCTTTTAAATGGAATTAATATGAAAATTCTTGATTAAATTTGTTGATAACTTAATGATTAGGTATGGATAAGATGGAGCTAGTTTGCATTCGCCATTTAATGGGCGAAATTCGAATGTCCAAATATAAATTACAACTAATGAAGTAAAGCCTCCTTTAGAAATAAACATAACGAAGCTTGAGATAGGTACTACACATCAAGTAAACAGTAGTCTATATGAATACTTCTAAAGTAAACTGTAATATTATCTACACGGTATATCTATATTAAAACTAATCCACTTTGTATATATCGTTTGTATTCATGGTGTTGTATCCAACTAGCCACTAATTTAAAAAATACACTGAATCGAGAAAATGAATTTAGGTATTTGGATGTATATGGAAAATTGAGATGTTTAATAAACAGATAGCTTATTGAAAAGAAAAAAAACTAACATCTACTCTTCCATTATTCAAGATAAAAATGTACTCATAATTGTAGGAAGCATACCTTTTATGACAGTCTTATAGTTCGACATACAAAGCCGAGTCATTGAGGTCCGAGCAGCTGGTTTTTAAGCACTAGACAACCTAATAAGTATCATTCCACATCAGACGCCCGGGGGAAATAATTCCCTACCTGAGTAAAATGGGTCCTCATCTCACGTACAGATTATTTACTTAACACATTCCGAGTGGTCGGATCTTACACCAGTCTACATAAGATGTGATTAAAACCTTTCCCATTCGTACATACTGTATATTTAAGATGAACTACTCACCGAATGCTAAGTATTTCGTGAAATTATTGGATACAGTGGGTCCTATGTTCGGTGAAAAAGATGCAACACAAAGATAGAGAAAGCAACTATCCGAATAAATACACAAACTAATATAACACATATGACTGCATAATTATGTAACTTAACACTACAGTCTATAGTTAAAGTTGATCTACCGAAAAACTAAATAAAATCATTGACGGAGAAAAAGCCGTATCTTAGCAAGTTTTGCGGCTCATTTAACTGGGACACTATCTTTATATAAGTAAGACCCATTACCTTGATAATGTAGAAATCTGTCTATATTACCTGTAGTCTCCAAATACATATTATACATACCTTGAGAATTCTATTTAGGAACTCCATATTTCACTAGACGGAATACACCAACAGTCAACTATTTGACCATACGAGAATGAAGCCACAAAGACAATAAGCATAAGTACATACAGATAACGAATCAACAGTGGCGATAAAACTCCTAAGACAATTGATCTAATCAATTTGATCAACTACTCCAATAATTAGTTAGACTGAGAATGGTTGTAGACCAGTCCTGAAGAAAGAGTCTACGCTTGAAGAAACTCATTCAGAACATTCGTGCCGTTATTTGAAATGGTTTGTACCCCACATCTTTAGTCTTTACATGAGATGGAACTATAATATTCGCGTACTCCAAGTTGATTTCTCCAGGTACGACGTCAACTAACGGAAACTTCGCCAGCTATTTTTACACAACCATGACGAAGCTTAGAAATGTGGAAGGTGGACAAGCCTGACAGACACCTATGGGGTAACCAAACTACTTGATAGTTTATCATGATACAATCCAACCACAGGTATCCAAGTAAATACCCTTTAGTTGGATGCAACACTTTGTGTAACTTTCAATAACACACTATCAAAGACCTTTCAATATATACGGTCAAACTCAGCCACCAGGTTAAGGAGTACCACAAGAATCAGATATTTGTGAGTATCCTTATTTTTCAAACTGAGCACTATAGAGATGAATTTGTCACAAGGTTGAACCATTAGTACTGGTTTCATATTTGATAGACGAAGTGAGGAAAGGCTGGTAAGAAGAATCTGTAGAGAAACAGGACTAATGGTAACAGAAATAAAGTTGATTTCGCAAGTATAACAACACCGTAGCAGAGTATCATGTTGGTATGTAGGTACAGACTACCTGATTGAGATGCACGTGATTATCGTAACCAATGGTTAGACTTCCAGTCGTTTTATTTATTTATTCAAACACAAACATTGGTACAAGAAGGCATCAAATATATATGCGTTACACCTCGTCCTTCGATTTGTGTGAGGGCCGGAGTACTATCGGAGCGCCCAAACTGACGCGGATGGATTTCTTAAGGGGCCACTCCCCGAACCTTTGACCTAAAGATATAATCCATGAAGCAGTGGAGCAACGTGAGAAGATACGATCCCATGGTAGCCGGTGACCAACGATAGGTTTATAAGCCATTTGTTCCCTTAGGATTCCGGATCCGTTCGTAATGACCCAAGTGCACGAACTCATTATACGTACAAATTCATATTCTCACGAACAATATTTTTGATGTGCCATCTTTTTATATTATAACTTATACTGATAATACTTTTACTACTATGCGATTTGTTCTGACAATTTCATCTTTCTGTGCTAACGGGATGTAATAACCTGAAAGGTTTTATATATGTGCCAGGTTCTGCGTTGCGTATGATACGTAAGATATTTCCTCTTGAAAAACCTCCAAAAAGAACGGGCAGCGTGACAATAATTACTTGGAGCTGGTTGCTCAAGGGTGACCTCTAAGTGGACTTTCACCAATAGTTTCTTAATGTTCCCTAAGTAGCTGTAAACCTTGTTGGTGAGAAAATCTATAAGGTGATGGAGTGGAAAGATAGAAACGTCGGTTATTCACAAGAAATATTCTAGCTCCGCCACACCCTGATACAATTCCGGTTTTCTCTTTTGGATTCTTTTAGCTGGTTTGCATAACATACCAGGGCCTCAGTTAACAAATGTTTTAGTCAACAACTCAGTAGTCTTCATGATAGATAAACTATAATGCTAGATCACAGTAACGAATGTTGACAAATATAGATAATCCTGAGGGCATTTAAAAAACCTGTTATTCATATTAATAAACTGGATATTCTCTTAAACTCTGAATAAAACTTTGCTGCTTCCTCGTGAAAATAAAACAAAGTTACGAAACTTCTTTATTTTGCTCATGAACCAATACGACTGTTAAACGTTGTTTCGCAAACAAAAATATTGGGGTTCCTTACATTCATTATGTTGAAAGTTTTAGAACATCCTGCACATCCACTTCTTTTCATTGAAAGGATTATCTTTAACACGATGAATAAGGGGATCTAATAAGATATTCTGCTGACAATAATTAATTAGGTCTAAAACAGTACGACTGAACTTTTGCCTTTCACAAGCACAATGTATCCTTAAATCTCGAACCTCTCGTCTTCTTACTTCAATTTCGTATTGTTTGCTTATGGGAGACATCATACAACTCCACACGGATCTAGATACAAGGTAACTAGGGATATGATAACCTATGAAAAAAAAAAAAGAAAATGCATCATCAATTACTCATATTTGTGCAAAAGTATCCAGCAATAATGATTAGTTAAAACTTTCCACCAAATAATACTTTGTTTATGGTCTCAGAAGTGAGCTGTCTAAATGGGGATAGAGAATTTATGAGTACAAGTCGACTATTAGAGTAATCTTTTAACCATTCGTCAGGTTCTAGAACACAGGAGTACTCATCGGCGTCCGACAATGGTGGTCTTTCTTGACTTAAAAGCAGCATTTGACTCGGTAGACCTCGAGATTTTGTGGCAGTGTCTGTCATTGAAAGGCGTACCTCAGAAGTACATAAACCTTGTGAAGGCCCTTTACTTGAACACTACCAGTAGAGTCAGAGCTTATGGCGAACTGTCATCTAGTTTTGCAACCTTAAGTGGTGTCCGTCAAGGCTGTCCACTTTCTCCATTCCTGTTTAACTTCATCATAGACCTACTGATGGAAATAACATTCTCGTCGACTGAATTCTCAGGTATTGATCTCCTTCCACGATGTCCACTTATCGACTTAGAATACGCAGATGATATAGTCCTGTTTGGTGAAGACGCTGACAAAATGCAGAGTCTATTGGTGGCACTAAGCAACAATGCCAGAATGTTTGGAATGCGCTTTTCTCACTCTAAATCCAAGTTGTTGCTTCAGGACTGGTCTGCGTCAACACCTGAACTAAGGATAGGGAGTGAAGTGGTCGAACGCGTCGACAACTTCACTTATCTTGGAAGTCTGATCAGCCCTAATGGGTTGGTGTCTGACGAAATTTCAGCACGGATGCGAAAAGCTCGCTTGGCTTTTATCAACTTACGTCACCTATGGCGAAGACGAGATATCCGTCTATCAATAAAAGGACGAGTATATTGCGCGGCAGTCCGTTCTGTTTTAATTTACGGCAGCGAAACATGGCCATTAAGAGTAGAAGACACCCGTAAGCTACTAGTATTTGACCACAGATACCTCAGAAATATTGCTTGTATCTCCTTGGATCACTGGGTCAGTAATGGTGAGGTTAGACGCAGTGTATTAGGGAATGATGGTAAATCAGTTGATGAGGTTGTTAATCTTCATCGACTGAGATGGTTGGGCCACGTGTTACGTATGCCTGAACACCGATTGCCACGACGTGCAATGTTAACGGGTGTTGGAGATGGTTGGAAGAAAGCCAGGGGCAGCTAAACCAAAATGTGGCATC